ATTACGATCACGATTACGGTGGTTGCTCAATGGAGATATTGGGCCTTAAAATACCCTTATTTTTGGACTTCGTCAAATCCAGGAAAAACTGTCTTTACTTGAGGGAGCGGAAAAGGAAGAAATTAAATGGACAAGTTAAAAATAGTTTAATGTTATTAAAATATAACAGATTGAGAAGATAATACAGTGAATTGGATTTGCAGATGTCCTAACTGTTTGTCACGGTAGCAAGTCAAAGTTAGCTAATTAATTATCCCTCAAGAAATTAAATATTTTGACCTCTTATTTTTTAACCTTTTGTTAACTCATACTAATCAGTATTTTTGCCAAGTTTGAGCCAAATCAGTGATTTGAGTATTACCACAACGCCTGATTCCGCTCACTTTATCTTCAAACACACTTTTAATAATAAGCATGTTTAGAGTGCTGATGACGATTAAAGCTTGCAAATGAAAAAAAGGGTCTAAGCCTGGGATCGATAACTGTTGTTTATTTGTTCATTCGTGTGTTTGTTTATCCGCCTAGAGCTAGTTATATTTACAACTTGACCGAGCATTACATTGCATGTCTATGTTAATATTGTAGCCTAAATTGGTGGTTTATAAAGAATTGTTCGTTCACGATAATCGGATATTGCATGACCGAATAGTAAAATAGGTTCTGCTGATGAGCCTCATCCTGTCCAATCTTCCAACCTTCCAATTTTCGCCTCCCCACCCCTCTCCCCATCCCCACGAAAAAATCCTTTCATAAAATCCCACTTGCTCTCATCTTTTCCGCGATCTCCTGCCTTTGAAAAACTTCTAGGAAGTGCTACAGAGACTTCAAACTATCAAATTTCTCACTCATACTTATAAGATTAATTAAAACCTTGCTAAATCTCATCTTAACGAGTTTTCTGAGCTTTTTGGGCCTTTCGAGCAATTCCTTCACGAGCACGCGTATATCACTTCCACCAGCTTGTCCACTTGATTGTGCTTCTTTCCAGGACATTTCAGACTTACTCGGGTCCAGCTTTTCACGGAAGGTTTGCAGAAATAGTAGTACTTTGTCCGTTTTCTTGCAAACCTCATAGGGAAAGTTCTAGTTGAGTAGTATGAAAAGCGCTGGCCGACACATGCTTTAATCTGAACGATTATAATTTCGCAGCCCTCCTCTCGAATGGACCATAGTTAGTAGAGTTAGTCTCCTCTACTAACTATGAATGGACTGATCACTCATAAATGTTGGCTCACAAAGAGATCTCTCATAAGGTTCGCGGACCGACCCGTTCTGAGAACGCTCGACATTTTTTAGTATGTGCGTAATTTGTATGCATTTTGAGCGTATCATACATAGTATTCGTGCTGATTTTGCACCGCAAAGACTTCTCTTCTTCCGCCACTACACCATGCCATGTGCTCATCAGTCAAAACGTCGCGCATGCGTCAGAGTCAAAACGTCGCACATGCGCATTAAGGACTCGACTGCAATTTGCAATTGAACGAAAGAACAAACGAGGCCAGAATTTCAACTCGGGCGTCTCCTTTGGAAAGCCCGAGTAATAATCCTTTTTCGCAAAAAAAGATCAGTTTTACACTGGAAAGAAGAGTTAGAAAAGCGACATCGGCCTGAATTTGACACTCCCCGACAAAGCAAACGTAACAAACCCCCTCCCCTCCCCCCGAGATACCTAGTCGTTAGTGTTTGGCGTTCTATCTTGGAATTCATAATCGTCCCAGTCATGCTGTACTGCTAATTCTTTAGTTTCAATCGGAATACAACAAAACCGGTGCGAAAAGTTAAATTTCATTCCCGGCCAAATGTTTCTGTTCTGAGAGGATTCTTTCGATCCAGAAAATATTTAAGAACGGCTTTCACACCAAGAATTCATTTATTACGTAACTAGTTTTACATCATAATAAACAAAACTACACGAGAGAAATTCTGAAAATCTTTCATTTTTTAAAACAGACTTGAAAGTTAAAACTACTTCCCACAACAAAAAACTACACCTTATTATTATCCAACCGTGTAAAGTAGACTACAAATAACGCGCGAATAGACTATAAACATCCTGCGATACTGTACGGTTATTTGGACAGTTGCTTATTTTGTACTGTAAAAAAAACCTGTTTTACCAATCGGCTGCGCGCTACGCTTCTCTATCCGCTTTACTTTCCTGCCTTATGAGTAAGCGCCCCAGGGCACTTACATGACGAAAAGTGACCTTGGCGTCTGCCAGTCTCAATTATTAGTTTGTTTTGCTTCAAAACTGTAATAACTTTTGATCAACTCCTGAGTTAGTGCATGAATTTTCAAAAGTAGAATCATCCAGACAATTTTAGCAATCCCCTGCGGTATGCTTTCTGCTTTACTAAGAAATCAGCCATAAAAGCAAAATAACCGACTCATTAAACAAAACAAAATGAGTAATATGCGAGTTTTCACTTTATCACAACTGCTTTGTTCACCGATCATCGATTTTTTTCCTACACAACCCCGCACAAAAAATTGTCGATGACCATTTTTAGATGCGTGACGTTTAACAGTCCAGTCCAGATACTGATATTGATCCCATTCGACTACAAAAAAAGTTAACTCAAATGAAGTTTTCTTTTGTATCTAGTAGATAAGGATGAGATTGTAATATCACGTACGGTTTTTTCAGGGCAAGGAATCATAAATTCAAATGGGGTTTGTTTTTTCCTGGAGTGAGTGAGTAAGCTTGAACGACAAAGCTTAGCAAGTAAACGTGAATAGAAACCTTATAAAATTGTTCTTTTGTTAATTACAAGAAAAACACGAGGTATTTTCGTATTTTATTTGGAATAATTAAAATTTAAGAAAAACAAAGTTGACAAACAGGAGGCCCTCAAACTTTATTGTCGCGCAGATTCAGCATCTAAAATACTCCTTCAATTGTATCATCATCATTTTGTTTTTAAAGGCTAAGCAAAGTGTCATGCGACGAACTCTACACATGAAATATTGAAATAAGCGAGGTAGCATATTGCATGATAAACTTATTCAACTTGTAAGTTATGAATAACTCTCATTCAGAAATTTTACATTTTCGAATTTGTTCCATCCGCTAAGAAGGAATGAAAACGTGCGAGTTATGCTTTAAGTCAACGGTAAAGATGGAAAAATATCAGCGTTAACTTACCGTTACGTTTTAACCAATCCAAATGACAAATTGAGAATGAATTCCATATCTATTGCACTGCAGGCTGCTTCCATCTCACCAAACTACACACAATCATATCCTGACAAATCTGAAAGTTGCTTTACTTTTTGACTTGACATTAACCGTTCGGGTTACACAGCGTAAACACAATAAAAACGTACCCAGGGCATAGAGAGGAAACCCATTTAACTGCAACGAGGAAACCCATTTCACTGCAACGAGGAAACCCATTTAACTGTAACAGCTATTTAGAGCACTTTAGTCATGCGACACGCTGTCGTTGACGCACGTGAAATAATTGAACGGTGAGTGACAAGCAGTGGAATGACATGCAACGTGGTTGCTAGGTTCCTTATAATTTGCATCACTGTTGACGTTTTTGTTTCTAATACATCTTGAACAAAATTTGCAACTTGTTTTATTGCTATCAGATGGGTTTGTTTTCATGGAAAAATTCTTGTAGTTGGAAAAACAGGAATCAAGATAGTGCATTTTAAACAGAAAGTCACGTTTGATCATGTTATTTCTGAGATTCAGTTTAAACACCCGTTCTCTTTCACCAACTCGATTTCAAACGACTTTGGTAAACGTAAACATTCAAACACTGTAAAGTTTCGCACGAGTCTTCATCGATTCCCTGCGTTCACCCCTTCACCTTTTCACCCCTTGAGTTAATCCTTCTGCGTGGACTAGTTTGACTTCTGTTATTTTTGTTGCCATTCGTAACTAACAAAAGTTATCTTAAGTCCAAAAGTAATTCCTTCAAAAATTGATTAGCAATTCTGTTCAAGCCCATTATTTACTTCGATGTCTTTTATTATCACAAACAAGTAAATCTACTGAGACTAGGCTTAATATGAATACCTACTTGAATCCACAAAGTACTTAACTGATCCATGAACATGAAGATCCATAAAAATTTACAAGCTTCTGATAGTATACATTTTATTTACATTATTACTTATTTCTGACAATATGCTATTTCACCCTTTTTTGCATATTTACCTAAACCTAATTCTTTAATTAAGCATAGTATCATGTATGAAAACTTTTCTAAAACTTGCTATTCATAAAACTGATCCAGTATTAAAACATACAAATTTCTGCGAAATCTTAAGTTAACAGCTTACCATTTCCATTTCGCTTTGTTTTCGAAATTGCAAACAAGTTTTCACTTACTTCAGGCCAAATGAAACTTGCAAACTATTCACGTATCATCAAGGTTATTTAAATATCGACCCTAGTAATGAACTTAGGAAAAATGCCCGCCTTGGAAAATTCAACCAAAGGACGTAAATTTTCGCATTAAGAACTGGCGAGCAAATTCCCTTTGAAAATTCAAACCAGACACTTGACCCAGTAAAGCTTGGTCTCTGCTCTATGCATCATGCACTTGACGGTAAGCACAAGTGTAAAATATAAGTTAAGGAGCTGCTAATGCTTTATGATAGATACTCTTTACAAATCTATTCACAAATTATCATTAGTTGGGTGTAATCAACTAACTATGGTGTGTTAGAGTCCTTTTTCACCAAGTTCTGTAAAACCAGAACAAAGATGAATATCACATAGAGCCAATAAAACCTCAACTCACAAACATGCGAGTAAGGTGAGAATGGCTTCACTTTAACATGTGTTTCGTTAGGCGGGCAAGTTTTGATATTCAACCAAAGCATTGAAGTAAAACAAAAACGTACCTAAAGGACTAAATGCAAACAATAGACATGTAAGCCAACGAAGGTTGGTTCCTGTATGTTGTACTCAATCTAGGAACTTTAGCAATGACTGAAATGTAATATTTTTATTTCACACATCTACATACTACTACTAAAAAAACAGCAACAGTTATTTCAATAATCTTAAAATTGTGTTCTCTGACGATAAGTCTAATGTTTAGCAATCCACATTACAAAATATCGCCTTTTGGCGTCAGTAATGTTTTTTCTTTATTCCATGTATCCGGTCAAATAATTAAACTTGATATTTACCGGGACTCAAAAAGTGTTTCCATTTTCATCGTCTTTTTCCTCAGGATCAGCTTCAGGATTCTCCGCTTCGACTGATTTTTCTTTAGGCTCGTCTCCTAAGTACAAAGAAATAAAAAAAAAGTTGAGCATCTACAATATCATTACAGGCCTAAGCTGGTCTGAAAACTCTAGAAACTAGTAGCAGGTTTCTTGCCAAGAAATAACAAGGAATACTGCTATAACGCCTGGATTACCTGCTTATCCGTCCAAATGTTTTTGTATTTAAAGAAGACACATCACACAATACAAACGAATCAAAACTTTTGTTTCCATACCCCCATCCACAACATCTTTGTTATCTTCCACATGACTCAGTTCCAGTGTAGAAGGAGATAAAGGTAGGATAACATCTTCTCTGCAATTCAGCTTGAGATTGAAGAGTTCTCCAAGCTTAGTGATGACTGAAATTCTGTCATTTTCAACCACACCACATTTCAGGCTAATGAAGTACGATGTCTCCTTAGGTGTACAGCCTTCATAACGATCTTTCTCTATACGTTTGGAGTTAGGAAAAGCATTCCCAATGCCTCTGTGAGCGCCATCAGTACAGCTGAGGCCCAGGAAAATCCTATCCTTATCCTGCAACCATAAGCACTATTTAGTAAATACCTAGCCACCCTTGAAGTGTTATGATAAACCTTTTTAAGAATCCAGATAAGATTATAACGACAACATCAACAAAAACAACAAAATCTTAGCAAACAAACCACAAAAGGTACTCCAAAGATATTGTAATGTGTAATGTTCAGGATTGTTCAAATCCCGTGATCCAAAAAAACGACGCGGTTTTTTTAAAAAATTGCCCCTATGATCAAATCTGCTCAATGAAATTATAAGTACTTCACTGTGTGAACAGTTCGAACGTTTCAAAAACTCTTCCTTGGGATTATAAGTTTTTAGACAGCTAGGTATTCCACATCGAGGTAAAATATAATGCAAAAAAAGCCTGCTCACCCATCGCGGACGTTTAGTGTTCCCTTGAAAGAGGAACTCATCTCCTACTTGAACGTATTTGACGACTGAACCAATTTGAACATTTTCAGCTATCATTTCTTCATCCTCCCAAGTATCTTTGGGATCCTTATTCGCCAGTTGAAAAGCGTCACCCACGCCGGATCCTTCTTCATTGATCTTCCTTCCATAAATTATGATAGTATCACCATTAGGGTGAGTTTTTGCTTTTTCAACAACAACGCAATGATCTTGTTTAGCATTGCCTACATCTGTTAATGTCACTCTGTCCATACGTCTGTTTATAGTTTTAAAATTATGATGCATTATGGAAGAATCATCAGGCGATTCTTCCATAATGAAAGGCTTAAACTGAACACATCTCGGGCTGAGATGTAAACAGTTTAAGCCAAGCTCGACATCTGTCATCGAGTCTTTTCCACATTTGCCTTCTTCAACGATGTCTCTCGGACTAGTCATCTCTGTTTGTGTTTTCAACTTCTTTCCTAGCCTTTTAGGCAAACTTGCTATCTTCTTCCCTCTCAGCTAGAGGAGACAAAAAAAAGGTACACAATGTAAACAAGAAGCGAAGTGTAAAAGTATGTTTTCGTTTTTTAGCCATTGTTGTACTGATAAGACTCAGTAGCCTTTGCTGAAAGGAAAAGAGGTTGAAGTAGGGTAATGTAAAAAGGATAAGCGATAGGAAAGGTGGAAAACGCAAATGACAAAATGTAGGAAACTTCAGAATTAACCTTTATGGGAGAGAGATGTTTATCGTTTTGTCACGTGCGTAGAAAAAATAAAGTTCCCATGAGGAATCGAACTTCTGAATTTTTCGTTTATTTTTCTATGTTCCGCGTTCACGACGAAAAAAATACTCTCCCTCTTTCACTACCGAGCTCAAAATTTATGGACCCTTCTATAATCAATTACTTGTCACCCTTACAATACGTATTTGCTGAATGTTTTCTAGTTCAAAGTGTTTTTCTGTTTTGTTCTTCTTCGTCTTCTTTTTTCAGTCGAGTACAAGCTGCCAGACATGAACTTAACTTGTGATACCGTCTCTCAGTTAAAGTTGGGCTGCAGGTGCATCACTGATTGTTTTGTTGCACAGCAAGTATTTCTAACACGTCATCAATATATTTATCATTCAATCATTACACATCCTACAAGAAGTGTAACTGTAGATAAATTCAGGGTGAGGGTTGACACATCACTCCGCTCCTACGACTGATTTTTGAAATTATTAATGAAAATGTTTTCAGAAATATACCTTTATAACTTCCAAACATACCTGTATATCTAACTCTCTTTCAAGTGATAGTTTAGTATCCTGAAATTACGTCAAATAATACAACAATCAGTCAATGCACTGAAAGCTACACTTTATTATCATTAGAGTTTAAGTTGTTGCTTTAGCCTCTCAATACTATGACCAAGCTCAGAATAGCGAATAAACACTGACACCAAATGTTTAACACACACCAGATAAACAAATAAATGTTATTCATCAATCGTAGGGTCCGTATTGGTAAAAACCGTCCCCGAGGGCGGTACACAAGACAGAGGGCACAGTTTTTTCCAAATACAGACCGATAAAGGCTGGTGAATAACAACTTTATTTTTTTTTCTGAAACTTAACAAAATGCTTGCAAAAAGAACCCGAAATATGTTGAACATTTCTTTGGCAGTTTGTGTTTCATGATAGTTTTCTTTGTTTTGAAGTGGGTTTTTCTTTTCGGAATGATAGAATTCGCTATCCTTGATAACCTTCGTCGTCTGAATCCATAACTGAGTCACTTGTTACCATATCTACATCTTTAAGCCTCTCTCGTAAATCGATTGCAAGGTGCAAAATGCACCTGGGTCCGAATGGGAAAATAAGGACCGCTGGAGGGCGCGGAATTAGCATATCAGATTCGAGGATTTAGGATTCCGGACCGCTGAGATGCTTAATGAAAAAAATAAAATACACAAATGCAAACTGGAGCTATCACCGTTTTTCAGCTTGTTAAAGTAAATCTTTTGGAACACAGCACGGGCAGGAATGCACCAATTGACATGCTTCACAAGAACGAATGCTTTTAAATTCATAAAACGTTTTAAATTCAGCTAAGAGACTGCAAGCGAGGAAACATTCTTATGATCACATCTGAGATATAACAAAGAAGATCAGGGAAGTTCAGCTGAATAAGTTCATACTAGTACAGTAGTGTTCACAAAATGCAAGTAACATGAAGTTGATTTCCTGAAATATACCATTTGACCTACCTTTTTATGCTAGATAGTGAGAGTAAATATGGTCAATTAACCAACGAGTAATTTCTATAACAAAATTAAACTTCTTCTAAAGAGCAACCACACATACCCTGGCATCAGCTTCGAACTTTCTACGCAGGCTCTCTTCAAACAGCTTCATCATCATAGTGTCAAACTAGAAAAATAATTAAAAAGCATTCATGAGTTCACTGAAAAGTCTCACTCAAGAAGCTAAATTAGTGTAGCATTAAAATGGCAGTTTCTGAAGAGAGAGGGAGAGGATTTGAGCACTTACTACTTCAGCTAGAAAGTAGTGATTCTCAAAATTACAACAGAACGAGACAGAGATAATTGAAGGTCGACCATTTTCCTCTAAGGGCTACAATCTATATGAAATCTGCCCCGGCTTCAGCCAACTCTATTCTATAAGGTTTGTAGCCAAACATCTCTAGGAGCTGTATTTTAAAAAAAGGCACCCGCTAGTCTGCATTTACGCTGCTGAGTGGAAAAAGGTACTCCTTACGAAACAAAACGAGCGAGAACCCTCAGCCAAGGCTTCTCTTCAGTTAATCGAATCGAAACCAGTTAATGAAACTCCACTCAGTTGAGCAACCGAAACCTTGACAAAACTCCACTCACGAAGACAAGAGAGGACTTTCGCCTCATACAACAGTCCACCAACTAGTAAGTGAAATAGTATTCACAGTAAAGATGATAAAATCTACAACGATTTTTATACATGGCAAAACAATCATAATTAGACCCATGGATGGCATAACACAATGACCTTCTTCATGAGGCTTTTCCATATCTCTTTTGAGGCCAACTACAAATGATAATCTGAACTCATGAGAATGACATCTTCGTGAATTAAACATTGCATTCATCTGAACAGCAACTGAACTATTATTTATCTTGAAGAGAGAGAGCACAATTAGGAAATACATGTAGATGTAGGTCCTTAGTATTTTCCTTTAAGAGAAGCAATTGAATGCGGTCAAATCTCCCCATGGGCAAAACTGCACTCGGCAGTTCTTCGTAGTAAGAGGTCACCAGGAGTATTTTGTGTGCAGAATTTATGCTACAAGGCAAAAAGGGCACCTTCAATAAAAAAAAAAAAACAAAACAAAACACTTTAATCCTCAAGCAAAGTAGTAGCAACAGTCTTAACACATCATGACAATTACAACTTCAGGAGTACATGACTGAATTAAGAAGACATGCTACAGAACTATGACTTAACTTTACACTATGACTAAATTCTACATAAAAATTACAGTTGAGCTTATTACGTACCAAGGTTGCTACATTGAAATCAGCTCCATTATCCACAAGCAACTTAACAATATCACTGTGACCAATTTCCAAAGCCTGTTGGAGTGGATTCAAGCTATAAAACTAAGAAACAAATAACAAAATGAGAAAGAAATATGTAAAGCTTACATATATGTTATTTGCCGGCTGGGAGGTCCGTATGGTGAAAAACTGTGACCGAGGTCTTGAAAATACTGCCCGAGGCCGTAGGCCGAGGGCAGCATTTTCAAGACCGAGGTCACAGTTTTTCACCATACGGACCGACCCTTAGCCGGTAAATAACATATTTATTGTTTTTAAACTTGACGAAATTCTTTCCGAAAGAACCCGAATGATTTATGGACGTAAATACGGCAACATCTTCCATAAACTGAACAATTTTTGAGTGGGTAAATGGTAGTTAAAATAGAGGTGATGCAAATTTAAGAGAGATGCCTCAGCGAAACATTTTCATTTCCGTAACGATAAAGGTGATTTAAAAGGCTTCCAAAAAAACTTTGAAACATTATTTTTACAAGTATCTGTCACAATCTGACACCTGTCAATTAGAGAGCGCGCAAGAAAAAAAAAAGCGTAGGAACATTTGAAAACAAACAGAACTAGTTTGGCAAGGACTGTCATGACAATGTTTTCTTCAAAATCAGTTAATGATCTAACGGAAAGTATTATTCACTCTCATCGACCATTCATTCATGTACGAAGATTTACCTCTGTTCATTAAGTAAACGGCGAGGAAAGTAATTGTGAGTAAATTCAATTTTTTTATTTTGAAGTTGTGAGAGTTTGCTCGTTTGTTTGCTGTAATGGCGTGTTTAACTCTGATCTTTCCTTCACAAAAACTAAATTCGAACGGCACACTCCAACGAGACACAAGGGAATATAATGCGGCCTTTTCTCAAAAAATTCCTTCAATTTCTGTTGTGCAATTTAAGGTACAAATGTCCAAATTGAACGGAATTGGAAAGACTCACCAGGAGCGTATATTTGTTGTAGAACTTAAATTAAAACTTCGCTCGCTCTTTCACTATGAACAAATTGCTCGAGAAAATTCAGATATTAAATGAATGAAAGTTCCATCGTTCAGTTTAACTGTAACCAAATACCTCACGTTTCAACTTTCTGGGTACTTTTTGTGAACGATTAAAATTAATTGCAGACGGTTTTTAGGCCGCTTGTCAACCAACGTAATGACACTATTGTTTATACAAATTCATTCTGAAACCAATATTTTTCTGTCAACCAAAGTAATTTGATAGAGAGAAAAGAGAGGATTCATAAGTTATTTATCGGCTTGAGGTAGTGACCGACGTGTTTGCTTAAAAATACTGCCCAGCCGGAAAACGAGGTGTATTTATGAAAAATGACAACGAAAGTTGGGATGTACTCGGCGACTCACGAAAGCGTTACCGTGGCCCGTGGGCAGAGATAGGAAAATACTGACCGGGTAAAGAACCAATCAGATTGCAAGATTCGTTACCGTGCCCTCTAAAAAAACAATAATTTCCCTTATTTAATAAAGAAAAGTAAACTTCTATGGTAAAATCTCCTTTTGGAATCAACAAAATACATCATGAAAAGTCTGTCCATACGGTATTTACGCACTCCACAGTTTGTATCAGAAATCTCACTCGTTCGCTTCGCTCGCTAGTTCGATTTCCGTTACTATCAAACCGTGAGTAAATACCGTACGAACAGACTTTACATGGAGTATTCTTTATACATGATAACTAAATCAAATTTAACCGGCAAATATAAACCAAGATGCTGTTGGTCTGTTCAGTAATAGATAAAAAGATGAAGTAAAATGTGGTGAGAACAAAACAGTTGTAAACCAGGCATAGCGTACTCAGTCAGTCGACCTTTTCACCTGAAGACTCGCAGTACGCAGATAAAACAACGCGATCCACATCCAAAATTACTTCATCGTAAGAGAAATGAATAAACTTCATCTTTGGAAGGCTTCTGTGATCTATTACTGAACAGACCCACGGCAACTTGGAATCTATTTGTTTCATATCATAGAGACGCGAAACGCCGTTATTGGCCACGTCATCTATGCGTTGGTCCTCCAATAGATCTGAGATAAGAACCAGTCGAAATCTGGGTATAATTCAGCTCATTATATTTACGCATCTGGATTGATTCTTACAAATGATCTATTTGAGGACAGACTCACAAATGACGTCACTGTCAACAACATTAATGCTTTTTAATAAATATACATAGAAAAAAAACCGATTTCATGTTCCCGTGCTTCTGCTTGGAGATATCACAGAAGACTCCAAAATATATTTAAAACTAAAAAGTGGTACATGAGGCACAGCCGCACGTGTCACTGAGTAAACACAAGGAATCTATTTGTCAAATAGAACGGCCGTGTGTCAATAACAGGACGTACGTAGTTGCATAAGTTCCCGCCCAATTTGGCCGCAACTTTCAAACCTTAAAAGATGGTTTTTCGGTTCCGGTCCGATTGAGATACACTTCAAGGACTTTGAATTTTAATGAAAACTATATAAACTAAGTAATACTCGATTCGGAATATGATGACATCTAACTCTCCGAGCGACAAACCTGATACGAATTACGGCTGGAAAATGAAAACTAAACTTGGATGGGTTTTAGCAACGGTAAATATTATTACAAAATATAAGTGTTCATGTCATACAATTAGTGTTATGTAGAATATTTTGTTCAACAATCCTTCACCTATAGGAAATCTTATAAAAACATCGCTACGTAGTTTTCTGGTCGTAAATTTAACAAACAACGATTCAAGTGTGGTGAATCTCTAAAGCGCGTCTAGAAAACGCTAGACATTCATAATTTTTGCGCCTCTAAAAAAATTTAGCTTTCCCCTAAACAAAGCTTTATTCTCGAAATGTTTTCTGTATGAAATATTTGACTTTCTGGTGAATCTGTGCGTCTCATAAACGCATGACATTCATATCTTTTAAGCTTTTAAAGGAATTAAGCCCTTTCTCTTCTGAAATGATTAACGTAACGATATATGGTCTAATCTGCGTTAGAGATAATTACCCTCTGCTGGTTTTTTTAGCATAAGGTCGGAAGGAGTATTACCTTGTACAACAGTTCACCAAAAATCATATGAATTTATAACAATGGTTAGAAGGGGCACCAAAAATGAAGCAACACGATGAACCCCCTCACCGTTGACACGACTTCTGTCCAGCTTAGCCGAGCCGCGAGTAATAAACCTTTAAAGATGGTTCTTCAGTTTCGGTTCAATCGAGATACACTTTTTGGATGTACCAAATTTAAATGAAAACTAAAGAAATTAAATTATACTCGATTCGAAAACCTTATTCAAAGTATAGCTGGAAATAAAAAGTGAACCTGGAGCAGCTTTTCAACAGTAAATATCATTTTAAATACAAGTGTTCCCTTACTAAAAGTATTCTTAAAATTTGGGAATCGAACTATCAGCAGTTTTCCATTTCCGGTCCGATTGGAGTACACTATTTGACGGTTAAAATATTTAAATGAAAACTAAATAAACTAGGTAATACTCGATTCGGAACAAAACGGACTTCTTACTTTTTCAGCGACAAAATTAGCTTTAGAGTTAACGATGGGTCGATTCCCGAATTTTAAACATGATACGAATTATAGCTGCAAAATGACACCTAACGTAGACTACTCGATTCCCAAATTTTAAACGTAATACGAACTACAGCTGGAAAATGACAACTTAGCTTAAGTAGTTTTTGCAATGATAAATACGAGTGCTCATTCCCTTAAAGTATTGTTAAATAGAGGTATTTGCTAAAAGACCCTCCTCCTTTTAAAAATTTCAATACAGCGCCACTAAATTTTCTGGACGTAAAGTCGAGTAAACAACGATTCAAATATGGTGAATCTGTTACGCACCACTCGGAAGACATTCCTAAAGAAATTCTGAAGAAATTAGGCCATTTCCCGTCTCGAAATATTTTTTATTCTGGCCAGGTTTCCATAGCTTTCTATCCAAGTTTCGTAGTAGCTCGCAAGCATATCATCTAATGACTAGGGTAGCACTATAGCACGTCGAAAGGAAGACGAGAAAGAAACAGAAAGAGCTCGCAACTTCCTGCAACGTTCTATTCAACAGCAAAAAACATCTTTTAAACAGCCATAAAATATTTGACTAAACTCCTCACGACATATCCCATTTATACTTCTAACTTACCCCTTAAAGTGAAATTTAAACTCTTACTCTCAGACTCTGACTTTACTCTTTATAACATATACAATTTATCCTTCTAACGTACCCCTCTTCCTTTGTTGACATCAGCTCCGTTCTCTATGAGCAACCTTATAATATTAGTCTGACCATTTCTTGCAGCCCATGAGAGTGGAGTTTCCTTCAAAATATAGAAAAGGAAAAACAGTGAAAAAGTATAGTAATATATAAACTGCATTTTTTATTCTTTAATGACCACCCTAAGGATATATGGTTGAATCTGCTTATGAGACGACTACATTCTGCTACAAAATTTAAATGAAATTTAAACTCTTACTCTCAAACTCTGAATTAACTCTTTATAACATATACAATTTATCCTTCTAACGTACCCCTCTTCCCTTGTAGACATCAGTTCCGTTCTCTAAGAGCAACCTTACAATAGCAGTGTGACCATATCTTGCAGCCATAAAGAGTGGAATGTCCTTCAAAATATAAAAAGGAAAAAAAATGAAAAGGTAGAAAGAGCTCGCAACTTCCTGCAACGTTCTATTCAACAGCAAAAAACATCTTTTAAACAGCCATAAAATATTTGACTAAACTCCTCACGACATATCCCATTTATACTTCTAACTTACCCCTTAAAGTGAAATTTAAACTCTTACTCTCAGACTCTGACTTTACTCTTTATAACATTTACAATTTATCCTTCTAACGTACCCCTCTTCCTTTGTTGACATCAGCTCCGTTCTCTATGAGCAACCTTACAATATTAGTCTGACCATTTCTTGCAGCCCATGAGAGTGGAGTTTCCTTCAAAATATAGAAAAGGAAAAACAGTGAAAAAGTATAGTAATATATAAACCGCATTTTTTATTCTTTAATGACCACCCTAAGGATATATGGTTGAATCTGCTTATGAGACGACTACATTCTGCTACAAAATTCAAATGAAATTTAAACTCTTACTCTCAAACTCTGACTAAACTCTTTATAACATATACAATTTATCCTTCTAACATACCCCTCTTCCCTCGTTGACATCAGCTCCGTTCTCTAAGAGCAACCTTACAATATCAGTGTGACCATATCTTGCAGCCTTAAGGAGTGGAGTGTCCTTCAAAATATAAAAAGGAAAAAAAATGAAAAGGTAGAAAGAGCTCGCAACTTCCTGCAACGTTCTATTCAACAGCAAAAAACATCTTTTAAACAGCCATAAAATATTTGACTAAACTCCTCACGACATATCCCATTTATACTTCTAACTTACCCCTTAAATTGAAATATAAACTCTTACTCTCAGACTCTGACTTAACTCTTTATAACATATACAATTTATCCTTCTAACGTACCCATCCTACCTTGTTGACATCAGCTCCCTTCTCTATGAGCAACCTTACAATATCAGTGTGACCATATCTTGCAGCCCCAGAGAGTGGAGTGTCCTGCAAAATATAAAAAGGAAAAACAATGAAAAAGTGTAGTAATACCGGTAAATAAACCGGACTTTTCCTTATTTAATGACCAACCTAAGGAAATATGGTTGAATCTGCTTTTAAGACGACTACATTCTGCTGCAAATTTAAATGAAATATAAACTCTTACTCTAAGACTCTGACTTAACTCTTTATAACATTTACAATTTATCCTTCTAACGTACCCCTCTTCCTTTGTTGACATCAGCTCCGTTCTCTATGAGCAACCTTACAATATTAGTCTGACCATTTCTTGCAGCCCATGAGAGTGGAGTTTCCTTCAAAATATAGAAAAGGAAAAACAGTGAAAAAGTATAGTAATATATAAACCGCATTTTTTATTCTTTAATGACCACCCTAAGGATATATGGTTGAATCTGCTTATGAGACGACTACATTCTGCTACAAAATTCAAATGAAATTTAAACTCTTACTCTCAAACTCTGACTAAACTCTTTATAACATATACAATTTATCCTTCTAACGTACCCCTCTTCCCTCGTTGACATCAGCTCCGTTCTCTAAGAGCAACCTTAAAATATCAGTGTGACCATATCTTGCAGCCTTAAGGAGTGGAGTGTCCTTCAAAATATAAAAAGGAAAAAAAATGAAAAGGTAGAAAGAGCTCGCAACTTCCTGCAACGTTCTATTCAACAGCAAAAAACATCTTTTAAACAGCCATAAAATATTTGACTAAACTCCTCACGACATATCCCATTTATACTTCTAACTTACCCCTTAAATTGAAATATAAACTCTTACTCTCAGACTCTGACTTAACTCTTTATAACATATACAATTTATCCTTCTAACGTACCCATCCTACCTTGTTGACATCAGCTCCCTTCTCTATGAGCAACCTTACAATATCAGTGTGACCATATCTTGCAGCCCCAGAGAGTGGAGTGTCCTGCAAAATATAAAAAGGAAAAACAATGAAAAAGTGTAGTAATACCGGTAAATAAACCGGACTTTTCCTTATTTAATGACCAACCTAAGGAAATATGGTTGAATCTGCTTTTAAGACGACTACATTCTGCTGCAAATTTAAATGAAATATAAACTCTTACTCTAAGACTCTGACTTAACTCTTTATAACATTTACAATTTATCCTTCTAACGTACCCCTCTTCCTTTGTTGACATCAGCTCCGTTCTCTATGAGCAACCTTACAATATTAGTCTGACCATTTCTTGCAGCCCATGAGAGTGGAGTTTCCTTCAAAATATAGAAAAGGAAAAACAGTGAAAAAGTATAGTAATATATAAACCGCATTTTTTATTCTTTAATGACCACCCTAAGGATATATGGTTGAATCTGCTTATGAGACGACTACATTCTGCTACAAAATTCAAATGAAATTTAAACTCTTACTCTCAAACTCTGACTAAACTCTTTATAACATATACAATTTATCCTTCTAACGTACCCCTCTTCCCTCGTTGACATCAGCTCCGTTCTCTAAGAGCAACCTTACAATATCAGTGTGACCATATATTGCAGCCTTAAGGAGTGGAGTGTCCTTCAAAATATAAAAAGGAAAAAAAATGAAAAGGTAAAAAGAGCTCGCAACTTCCTGCAACGTTCTATTCAACAGCAAAAAACATCTTTTAAACAGCCATAAAATATTTGACTAAACTCCTCACGACATATCCCATTTATACTTCTAACTTACCCCTTAAATTGAAATATAAACTCTTACTCTCAGACTCTGACTTAACTCTTTATAACATATACAATTTATCCTTCTAACGTACCCATCCTACCTTGTTGACATCAGCTCCCTTCTCTATGAGCAACCTTACAATATCAGTGTGACCATATCTTGCAGCCCCAGAGAGTGGAGTGTCCTGCAAAATATAAAAAGGAAAAACAATGAAAAAGTGTAGAAATACCGGTAAATAAACCGGACTTTTCCTTATTTAATGACCAACCTAAGGAAATATGGTTGAATCTGCTTTTAAGACGACTACATTCTGCTGCAAATTTAAATGAAATATAAACTCTTACTCTAAGACTCTGACTTAACTCTTTATAACATGTACAATTTATCCTTCTAACGTACCCATCCTACCTTGTTGACATCAGCTCCCTTCTCTATGAGCAACCTTAAAATATCAGTGTGACCATATCTTGCAGCCCCAGAGAGTGGAGTATCCTGCAAAATATAAAAAGGAAAAACAATGAAAAAGTGTAGTAATACCGGTAAATAAACCGGACTTTTCCTTATTTAATGACCAACCTAAGGAAATATGGTTGAATCTGCTTTTAAGACGACTACATTCTGCTGCAAATTTAAATGAAATATAAACTCTTACTCTAAGACTCTGACTTAACTCTTTATAACATTTACAATTTATCCTTCAAACGTACCCCTCTTCCTTTGTTGACATCAGCTCCGTTCTCTATGAGCAACCTTACAATATTAGTCTGACCATTTCTTGCAGCCCATGAGAGTGGAGTTTCCTTCAAAATATAGAAAAGGAAAAACAGTGAAAAAGTATAGTAATATATAAACTGCATTTTTTATTCTTTAATGACCACCCTAAGGATATATGGTTGAATCTGCTTATGAGACGACTACATTCTGCTACAAAATTTAAATGAAATTTAAACCCTTACTCTCAAACTCTGAATTAACTCTTTATAACATATACAATTTATCCTTCTAACGTACCCCTCTTCCCTTGTAGACATCAGTTCCGTTCTCTAAGAGCAACCTTACAATATCAGTGTGACCATATCTTGCAGCCATAAAGAGTGGAATGTCCTTCAAAATATAAAAAGGAAAAAAAATGAAAAGGTAGAAAGAGCTCGCAACTTCCTGCAACGTTCTATTCAACAGCAAAAAACATCTTTTAAACAGCCATAAAATATTTGACTAAACTCCTCACGACATATCCCATTTATACTTCTAACTTACCCTTAAATTGAAATTTTTAACTCTTACTCTCAGACTCTGACTTTACTCTTTATAACATACACAATTTATCCTTCTAACGTACCCCTCTTCCTTTGTTGACATCAGCTCCGTTCTCTATGAGCAGCCTTACAATATTAGTGTTACCACTTCTTGCAGCCTCAAAGAGTGTAGTGTGCTTAAAAATATAGAAAAGAAAAACAATGAGAAAGTACTGTAGTAAATGGTTAAGTCTGCTTTTCGGACGACTATACTCTTCAAATGTGTTTTAAGCATAAGTTCCGAAGTAGTATTACCTTATACAACAGTTAAGCATATGATAATAATTCAATTTAATGGTTAGAAGGGGCACTAAGAATGGAACAACACAATGACCCCCCTCACCACAGACATGGCTTCTGTCTATGCAAAGGTCCCTTCCTGCTTAACCACGAGTTTCAAACCTTTTAAGACAGTTTTCAGTTCCGGTCCGATCGAGAGACGTTGTTAAAGCTTTTAAATTTAAAGGACACTATATAACTTAAATAATACTCGTTTTGGAAATAATATGCATCTAGCTATTCAAGCGAAAAAATTAGTTTTGGAATCAACGATAGTTTGATTATTCAAAGTAATAAGAATAATGGCTAGAAAATGAAACCTGAACTGGGAGCAATTTTCAACGGTAAATATCATTCGAAATATAGATGTTCTTTTCCTGAAAATATTGTTGAATAGAAGAGTTTGTTACAAAATCCTTCTCCTTTCACAAATTTTTAACACATTACCACGCATATATCTGGCAGTAAAGTCCAATAAACAACGATTTAATCGTGGTAAATTTGTTGCACGCATCTAAAAAGTCAAGGAATTCACAAGTTGTGCACTTCTTAACAAATTTAGCCCTTCTCTGAATAAAGCTATGGTCTCCAAATATTTTCTGACCAGGTTTGCCTTTCTTTTTATCCATCCCATCCAGTTAAGCCGAGAGTTTTTTATTTTCTGTCCAATTGAAGTACACTAAAACTAAATAATCTAAGTAATACTCGATTCGGGTTAAAACAAACATATTAGTTTTGAGCGACAAAATTAGCTTAAGAGTTAACGATACTTCCATTCCCAAATTTAAACGTGATAGGAATTAGAGCTGAAAAATAAAAATTGAACTTAAAGTAGTTTTTGCAATGCTAAATCTAAGTGTTCATTCACAGTTCAGATTTTTTTTTAACTCGTGAGACGGACTTCGGCAAAAAGTTGGGACTACTTGCAGTCAGACAAAAACTAAAACTGTGTGTTCCCCATGAGGAATGAAACCTCAGGCCTTGCGGCATTGTGGTCAACTGACTCTCTGCCACTTTACTACTGAGAACGCATTGGTGAACTTATCCTGTATAAACTAAGGTCATATGCGTTTTAATGAAAACTGCTTAGATCAGCAACGTAGTGTGTGTGTAAATAGATTGAGAAAGATGTTAAGTTTTGGGCTCGACTTTTCTTTTATTCAACAATTAAGATTAAAACTTGCAATGTGAATGTGGCTGCCATTTTGATGAACTCTGTTGCTATTCATGTTCAAGCACTGTTTTCAAGATTGCCATCTTGCATGAAAAACATCAACTAAAATGTTTTGAAATAAATTAGTGCCAAGGATTTTAAGACTATACAAGTTATATTAACCAAAGGTAAAAAATCTCGAAAGAAAGGAAACATGTTTGCACTTGGAAGCTAATAGTACAATAATGAAAGAAGACTGAACTCTTGCAAAGATTAAAGTTCACAGTTTGAAATCCTTCATAACTGATTAAAAATCACGTGTACACAGTCGTCAGCTGGTTTATACATGCATTCACCTCACCTTGTGAAACATCATGAAAGGATATACAAATGGATGAGGAATCCCAAAACCGCACACAGGGGTAACAACTGGTAATGATAGGCGAATACGCAAGTTCCTTTGTTCAGAAAGGAGCCCCTGTTCTCTGCTTAAATCTTCCTCTGAATCAAAGACATCTCTCTCCACACCTCCATCAGTCTTATTTGGTTCAATAGATGGCATTTCCCATTTTGAATGCTCATTCTTTCCAGCATCTTCATTCTCACAAAGATCAAACCAACTGGCGAGACCTTCCCCTTCAATAATTGCAGGCAAAATATCATGGTTCACGTAAGTTTCCTTGTTAATGACACTATGCAGATACTGAGTCGGAACAGGTTCTAAAGATTGTCCTGCTTTAGAATAATCTTAGTCTTAGAACCAACTTTCTGGGAAGTTAAGGGATGGCTTATGAATGGATGGGGTTGTATTTGGAGGACATGGAAGCAGCATTGACCGGGTTTGAAAATGAGCTAATCAAAAATTAACCACTTGTCTCAATTATTTTACTTCTTTGATTTAATGCCACAGTTCTCACTACCGGTATTTATAAAAACAGAATTTGAAATCGAATCTCCATCAATATAACCCCAGAGTGGAATCAATTAAGCATAAATGTAAAATTGACTATATGAACACATAATTCCTAGCCATAATCTGTAGATCCATAACACTCTGCCATTTCTGTGTGACTAATTCTTGAAATAAATATGAAAAATTCAGTTTAAGGCCTATAACAGGAATTTGTTAACACTGAATAATTATTTTTATCCGGATACAAATGATTCTTTCAACAAGGGGAGATAAAAATAATTGTACTCTCATTTGCATCAGAATATTTACCTGATTCTTCCCATTCCTGACCTGAGTGTATTTCCTCATCACTACACTGCGGAGGGGCCATGTTTAATTGGCTGTCTCCATTCCATAAAGGGTTGCTTACAGGAGATTGAGCTGCCTGAGATTGAGTAGTTGGTCCAGCATGTGTTGCTGATTGCTGGTTTGAAGTTACAGAAAGAATTGATTCTGAATCTTTTGGTTTAGCATTTTCTGCGTGAGGTGCCTCAAAAAGTTCATTATCTTGGTACTGGCTTTCTTCATTCTCCACAATAAGATCAAGAGCATCAAGACAAAGCAGTGGGGTATTGTCATGTGATGCTAACTGAATATGTGAGGTTCTTCCTTCGGAAAAGAAAGCCCATTCCTGACTTGAATCCTGCATTTTATTGTGGTCATCTTTTTCACAATTTTCTTCAGTCTTTTTCGACTCTGGTAAAGATGTGTTCCACTTGTGACAAACACCACTTCCAACATAATTATTGTTACCAATGCTATCCTCACTAGTGAAGCCCTCTGTCATTAGTTCTTGGATTTCATGGCTCACATTAAGTTTACTGTAAACAGCTTCGCGTGAATGTTGAGTTGATTCTGTTTCAGGAATGGCTTCTTGAGATTTGCTTGATCTAGAATTCACCCAGGGGAATGAAAGTGGAGAATCTGGATAAAGAAGATAAATTAAAAGTCACTCCATATATCATTAGACAAAGAGACAGTGTTATCAGAACAGGATTTACAATCATGAATGACTTTGATTTACTAATCATAGTGCCTAGAGAAAAACTCCCAGAAATTTGGAGAAAAGACACCATTAATGAACTGGAGCACTAAAACTCAGCAGAAAATTATGTATTGAAAAGCAAACTGTTTTGTTAGAGGTGCACCTAACACTGAAAACCTGTTTTGCTTTCTAAAGGTTTATGAAGTCCACCCATTTCAAAACAAAAGTAAAGCCCAAAGTGTATCTTAACACCAGAATTTAATCCTCTCCTTACATCTTTGATTAAATGATGACAACAATAATCAATATTCATCATCCTTTCTGTGAATAAGAGACATCATTATGACATTTGTGCCCTATTTACTTATAGTTTAAATTATAGCTCATTTTGTACATAGTCACATGTTCATTATTATTGTATGCTCAAGGAAAGTAAATTAATTGAAATTAAATAACATGGTTGAATACAAATAACTCACCACTTAAAGATTCATCCCAGCTTTCTGAATCAGACAAAGCACTATCAGTTTCAGATGAAACACTTGAGCAATCCTCTGTGTCAGCAAAGTAGTTTTCATTACTTTCCTGAGTGCATGACAGTTGATCATCTTCCAAATCCTCCTCAGCTTCAGTACATGCTGTAAGAAGTAACACTCCACATGAAAATTTAAGTGTGAGAAGAACTTAGCTACAGTAAAAGTACACTAAAAAATACCAAAAGTTGACAATAAATGTACTTCTACCTTTTGCTTTACACAATCATTTTGAAATTTAACCACAGGTAGCAAGAATATGGCAAAGAAAATAAAAGGAAGTTAACTATATACACTCAACTTTGAGGAGCACACATTTAAAACTCTTAACTCAAAACAAAGACCACTGCACTGTATATATAGAATTCTCAAAAATGTCCAATTTCAATACTGGGACAGTATGTCTAATCATTTGACATAGTACAGTTAAAAGATCTGGGACAGTACTGATCATTTGCAAAGTAAAAAGACCAGCTGACTTTTTTTTTAGCCTTGCTGGCTCTATGTCAATGGTGTGTAAGTAAGTAAGAATGACCATTTCAAGTAAGACCTCACGTCAAGATGTCTGTCCCTATACAGTTGGTTTGTAAGCTGAGGGTCACCAGTTTGATGCATCTAGCTGACAAACTTTGACTTTTTTAACTTAAATTTTTTTCCCTTCTATTTTCCTTTTTTTCTACCAGACACTATAATGTACAGGACTTCTAATATTTGGTGATGGTGTGATTTTGCATAATTGGCCTCACATCATTTCAGATAGTGAACACACAATTCAGGGATGATTAGACCAATTTCTTGGTTCAATTTTACTTGTTGGCACTTAGTGACAACTTCTACAAATACTTTCCTACCTAACAATGCCATGCACATCCGACTCCTGTCCCCAAAAATTAGCACCACAAAACCTCCCTTTTTGCATGTAAATTGTTTTGATAGGTCCAAAAGTTAAATCAATTTTTTGTAAAATACCGTGCAAACAACATTTCAACAATCACATGGTTAGTGTTTAACTCTTAAGTTTACTATTCATTACCAGTGACCTCATTTCCTCTCAGGGACTATTTTCTGAGTATGTCTTTAAACAATGTTTCTCTCATTTCATTGTAATTTTGATTTATGGACCATTGGGCTGAACATTGTTCAATTCTGACTGTAATCTGCCACATGATTTACAGTCATTTTATTTTCTCAATCACCCATATGATTACACCGACTGAACTGGACTCCAGTCAGGCCAATACATGACCATTACAAATTACAATGGCAAGATTATTTTCAAAGTCATTTCCCAAACAAATTTAGCTTCTTTATAACCAAAAAAAAACAATGAAATTCCATCTAGGCTAGGTTCAATCAAATTATAATGCCAACTTTATTCTTGCTTCACTTTGGCTCTTTGATGTATTTACCTTTATTTTGTGTGGCAGATGGTTCCTGCCTCTGGATACCCACACTGCACTTTTGTATAAGCTCACACAACTTCGACACCACATCTGAGCCCAGTTGAGAAGCTTCTGAATTTAACACAATCAAAAAGAAATATGAGAATCACTGCAGCCTGCTTTTCAAAAATGATATGATACTATGAAAAAATCAAAATGATGTGTTTTCCTTTTAAAATCCTAGCAAGGAAAAATGTTTTGATTCAAATTGGTTTCAATTCCAATAAATAAACTGAGAGTTTTAAAAGTTTGTGTTTCACCTATTCTGTATTGACATCCAGTAGCTCCACCTCCATAGGTTCCACATCCCTTTCCTCCACATCCACCTGCTCCCGTTCCACCAGTCCCATCTCCACTGACTCCACTACCACTGGCCCCTTCTCCACTACTTCCACCTCCACTGCTTCTGCCTCCACTGGCTCTACCTCCACTAGCCCCACCTCCACTGGCTCCACCATCATTGCCTCCATCTTCCCTTTGTCCACTACCACAGGCTCCAGGCTTTCCACCTAAATTTTTTCGCACATACAGTACTCGATAGTACTCTAAAGAAGTCTCTGCCAGAATTTCACCAGTGGTCGTTGAAATGAGCCAGACTTTAATGACTTCAGGCGTCATTTTAGGTGAAGCTATGGATAAAATGGTGATAAAGACATTGAAATAAAATTACCTCCATAAAACAGTGATATATATATGTCTTTAAAAAATCTCATGGATAATAAGGTATGTAATTATATTAACTACTACAAAGAGATATTACCACAACTAGTAGTTTTGAAAGACAACCTTTCATAGCGGAATCCCATATGTTTGTCCCATTTAAATAACCACCCAATTTATTTTACTATAGTAGTGGGATTTGTAATCCAAACTGCTGTTGCTGCTGCTGATGATGATTTGAAGGAAGAGAAAACTTACAACAAACTTGCATTTCATTGAGAGCTTTTTCATATAGCAGCGCTTTTGTAACTCGATTTTATAGTTTGTGCTTTAAGGGTGTCTGTAGGTATGGGTTTTGTATGCTATTCTTTAACTTCGGTTGCCACAAGCAACTGGAGAAAGGTCACAATTTTAAGAAAGCCAGTAATAGTAAGCAATTACTCTCATCTCAACAACATTGCTTTAAGTAAACAATGCTTGTAGGTAGTTTACCCTTAAGTAAAAAAAATTAAAAATAAAAATACCATTTGTTAAAAAAGATAACTGAAATTATAAGTCAATGAACACCCAATATCAATGTTGCCTCTATTAAATCTTTGTTATAAAGGGGTTAATTTGAAAACATTTTCCTGATTGGTACACTACTTAATGATTTTACAAACCTGGAATTTTACAAATGTAGCCAAGTATTGTCTTCACTAGTATAATTGGTTCTATATTACCAAAGGAAGCTTTGACATCAACATCTGATGGCAGCTCAGGTTTGAAGGTGAAAATACAGGGGGCTCCTCCCTGCAGATGTGGAAACAAATTCAGTGCTAACAAATTATTATTTTTACCTTATTCAAACTTGAACATACATAACACAGGCAAAGCACAAGCAGGTAAATTGATTGCTGAAATTGAAATGCAATCGTTACTTTACCCTTTATTCTGTTCTCTGATAACAAACAATTACCAGAATTGCATCCAGAAATAGTGAAAAATACATCACAAACTATTTTACAATGTCCTTACAAAAAAAACCCACAAATCTAAAAGCATTAAGTGTTAGGTTTGACACAGACACACAAGAAGTAATTACCATAAGAGACAATGTTGAACCTCCTTTTTTGTTGGTGTTTATTATAGAATGATATATACAAGGCATATTTCTACAATTGTTATATTAAATTTGGAGATCAATGCTATGACACAATTAAAGATGGTCACCATTTTATTGACATATACTGTACAAGGTAATTCTTTACCTGCAGAGGACTCTCTTTTGGATTTATGACAACCTCATAATCATATTGCTTCAACCACTCTTCTCTCCTTGCAACATCCATTAAATTTTGAGCTAGAAAGTCAGTATCAGCTAATCAGTTCAAAGCAAGCAGATATGCTCATCACTACACCAAGATTTTTTAAAATCCCTTATTACAAAATAAAGTAAGCTGAGACTTGTAAGGGTGACCAAAAGGTGAATGTGAGTCCAAAAAAATAAATGTATCCAAGATCAAACCTCCACCAAATTTTCTTTTATTACCAGGGGTTGGCATCTCTGCCAAAGTGGAGTTCACATCTCTGCTAATGTGAAGTTATTCAAGTTTCATCAAGCTTTATGCATTGAAAAGTGGATGTTGATGGAGGGGCTGCATAAGCATTAAAATCATATTTCCTTCAACATTAGTTTACAATGACATGACATGTTACTTCTTTAAACTTACCAGAAGAATTTGCCTCACACTCAAAAGAAGCTAACAGTTCAATGATCTATATTTCGAAAATTAAAAGGTAAGTTTGATATAGTTTATCTGACACAAATGATTATTTTATGTTTTTTATCTACTCATTGTTTATCCAACTATCCTGCTGCATTAAGAATCTACCTGGCCCACCAGCAATGGTTGTAGCAGGGTCCCACGGTACATACTTTACGGCATTTATGACCAATGACAGGAAAATAGGGAATAAAGTGAAATGACGTAAAAGACAGTGGGCAGTGAGTGAAACAACACAGTGGCACACTTAATTAAAATTTTAATCTTGCCTTTGTCACACCATAAGGACAAAGATTTGAGTGAGGGATGGATCACAAAAATGGCACACTGCTGAATTGCTGAAAATGGCACTCCAGCAAGTACACTGCCACACCTCCACAAATTTTGGGGAAAGTAAGAGGTCTTCACTTATTTTTTCTTGCTCAACTCTGTCATGACATGCTTACCTATGCATTTCAATTACCCAGTATTCCATTTTTAGAGAGAGCCATGTTTAACTCAGAAAACAACTCAATTTTTCACCAAGATGTGTAGATGAATGTGAACAGTCAAATCATGCCCTACGCACACTCTACCAGATGTTCAAGACTCATTCTACTTTTTATTAGCAGACAATCCCAAATTCAAACCACATATAATCATTTATTTTTCCACTTTGAACATTCCTGTATTTCTATTTCCTGAAAATTCTTCCACTCTCAGTAAACTTGCATGTTCTTGATTTGTTTATTAGTTCCTCAACCTAAAAAAAGTTTCAGCTTTCCCCAGAGCCCTAAAGGGAACCTGTTCCATGATTGATATTTTTGTGACCACAAAACAACTGTTTGTTAATCAATCACTGCCTGCTTCTGCAGTACAACTGTAGTGCGAGAATCACACAAAATAACAGGAGTGTATTCCATACATCTAAATAGAAATTAGCCAGCATGCAACCATCAAAATTAGGCTCACCTTCTCATGATTCAAACTCCACTTCATTCATTTTTTATTTTACATGTTATGTGTGGTTGACTGTTGTACAATATGATTACCTGATCATCAAAAGCCCCAATAGTCCCAGATGTGTTTTGCTGGTTGTCTTTAGTCAGAGCAGATAAGCTGGCTTCATTAGCAGGAACTTGAGTTTTTGGATACTGAGGCTGCCTTAGCTGTTGAGCACTTTGACTCCCTTTTGCTGTGAATGTCTCTGTTGAAGCCTGATCATATGACTTCTGGATCTCTGTATCTCTACTAGAGATTTGTAAACTTTTCAAATGAGATGCAAGGGTGGAAGAATTTATCTGCTCTGGTAAATCACCTACACACACACACCAAAGAATTGTAATAATTCATCTAACAATATCAACTTTTTTCCTCAAAGAACTGAATTTTCTAGAGTATAGAACATGTACTACATTAATGTTTAACCATTTACTTCCTGGTCTCAATTATCTTCTTATGAGCTACAAATGTACTTTGTATGCATTTATGTGTTTGTGACAACTATACATAGATTATCTAAATTCATTGCTGCTATCAACAGTGTTTCCCTGTTCATACCCAAGATACTTTTCAGTATTTATGGTTGTCATCAACAGACTGATATTTTCATGGAGTGGACAACACCTTGATGTGTACATTGTCTCCAATGGGTTACCTAATAAATATTTTGATCAAATGCCAGCTAAACACCAGCCATCAAATTTCTCATGTACAGCTGAAGTAATAGAACAATCAAATTACAGGTTAGAAAACTATATTCATTCAATGTATACAGAAAAACTAATAAAAGGTTGCAAGAGAATTAATGAAAAAATGTGCAGCATTGTATAATATTTTCATCTCTTTACTCAGTAAACCCAGGAACTTTTGGGCTTATACTATTTTGCGAAACGAAACGAAACGAAACGAAACGAAACGAAACGAAACGAAATCAGGTGAGATAGAACAAAACTAAAGGAATAATGCAGATATATTTTCCGTAACAAGGTAAAGAAAACTTTCACAAGGAATTTGGAGTAATCGTTCATTAACAAGAAGGATTTTTATTCATTTCGCAAAATAGTAATTTTAGGAGCGTTACTATTTTGCGAAATGGAATTTTTCACCCTGCGGTGACAACGTGACCTCTTCCATGTCACAAAAATACATTTAAACATTACAAATTAGTATATCACCGAACATTTTGGCCTTCTCTTATTTCTTAAACCGTATTAAAATGTATTTCGCAAAATAGTAATTTTAGGAGAGTTACTATTTTGCGAAATGGACAATTTTTACTCAGCGGTGACTAACGTAACCTCTTTTATGTCATAAAAATACATTTAAACATTAAAAATTAGTATATCAACGAAGATTTTGGCCTCTTCTTATTTCTTAAACCGTATTAAAATGTATTTCGCAAAATAGTAATTTTAGGAGAGTTACTATTTTGCGAAATGGACTATTTTCACCCTACGGTGACAACGTGACCTCTTTCACGTCACGAAAATACATTTAAACATAACAAATTAGTATATCACCGAACATTTTGGCCTCCTTTTATTTCTTAAACCGTATTAAAATATATTTCGCAAAACAGTAATTTTAGGAGAGTTGCTATTTTGCTTGACCTCTTTCATGTCACGAAAATACATTTAAACATTACATTATAGTATATTCTCAAAGATTTTGGTCACCTCCTCTTTAATGTAGTAATTTCTAAACTAATTGAATGTAGTAATTCCGAAAAATGTTTATTTTGCGAAATGGATTATTTACACTCGGCGGGCGGGAACTCGAGAATAAGGGCGAAGGGATTGTTGCAGATTCCCTTGAACTTCACAATGTTTGGATGTTTCAGCTCTTGAATGAGTCTTGCTTCCGTTACAAACGTTTTCTTATCCAATATGTCCTCGCCGAGCAATTTCTTAACGACGACTTTCTCCGCAGCGGCCGATTTCCCACCCACATCAGGAACAGTCTGCCAGTTAGCAGTGAACACAGCACCGTAAGCGCCCTTACCAATGATTTCCTTGTTTGTCAAACACTTGAAATCATGAACTGGAAGACCTGAACAGTCGATGGTCTTGAGCTTAACAACAGGAAATTTAAAAGCCATAATCTTGCCTGATTTAGCAGCACACAAAGCGAGCACAAAGCGAACTTCTTGCAGCACGTGGAACTTGCGCAAATGCGAAACACGATCTCTTGCTCGTAAGGAAGAGGTGTGCGACGGGGGTGTAATCAGAAGCGCGTAACTTTTCCATGTATATTATTTTTATTGAAAATTTTGAAGCAAAGTAACTGTATTACTTGCGATTATAAAACTGCTGGACGACTATTTAGGCATGGGTATGCTTCTGTTCTCTATACGAGACGGAGAGTCTAAACATGTTTAGCCGCCACTGGAAAACTGTCATGTTGGTTTTGTACCGAAACAGTGCACACCCTTCAAAACGCACGAAACGAGTCTTTCAAATCTCTCAGGAGAACATGGCAACTTCACCCTAGAATAGCTCCGTCGCTAGTAAAAACAGCTTTTACCTCTTACTTTCCGCTCCCTCCCATGTCATTAATTGGACACAACCTCGGTTTGGGCCTTCAGCGGAGCTCTCTTGACTTGGTTTCGGCGTCACGCAATACGGTACTACACAGTTGTCGATTTTGATTAAATGAACCTGTTAGCCCAAACCTCTTGTTGCATGTTTATTGAGATGGAGTTATTAATTGGCTCTTACTTAATCATTTGAAGCTGAGGAAAGGAAAACACCGCCTTGTTGCTTGGCAGTGAAGAAGTACAGACCACAGCTAATTAAAACACTTACGTACAAGGAAAGGTGAGACCTGTAAACCCAATCTGTCACGAGTCAGTTTTCTCAGGCGGCATTTAAATCATTTATGGTCCATTTTGCAAAACAGTAATTCTTCCAAAATTACTGCCTCGCGAAATAAACTTAGAAGACGTTTATATAGGTGAAGATAGCTTAGACCTTTTGAGATTTGATAGTGCTTTAAATTGAAACTTACCGAAAACCTATTGTATGACACGAGAATAACGACATCGTTACCGCTGAGTGAAAATAGCCTAGCTATTAGTCAAAACAGTAATTTTTCTGACATTACTACTTTGAGAAATTAATTATATCTGGATAGAGAAAGAGGAGGTGACCGAACCCTTCGAGAATATACTATAATGAAATGTTTAAGCGTATTTTTGTGACCCGAAAAGAAAGTTATTGAGGGGTAAAAATAGTCCATTTCGCAAAATAGTAACTCTCCTAAAATTACTATTTTGCGAAATAAATTTTGAAACGGTTTAAGAAATAAGAGGAGGCCAAGATGTTCGGTGATATACTAATTTGTAATGTTTAAATGTATTTTTGTGACATGAAAGAGGTCACGTTGTCACCGCGGGGGTGAAAATAGTCCATTTCGCAAAATAGTAACTCTCCTAAAATTACTATTTTGCGAAATACATTTTAATACGGTTTAAGAAATAAAAGGAGGCCAAAATGTTCGGTGATATACTAATTTGTTATGTTTAAATGTATTTTCGTGACGTGAAAGAGGTCACGTTGTCACCGCAGGGGTGAAAATAGTCCATTTCGCAAAATAGTAACTCTCCTAAAATTACTATTTTGCGAAATACATTTTAATACGGTTTAAGAAATAAGAGGAGGCCAAAATGTTCGGTGATATACTAATTTGTAATGTTTAAATGTATTTTTGTGACATGAAAAAGGTCACGTTGTCACCTCAGGGTGAAAATAGTCCATTTCGCAAAATAGTAACTCTCCTAAAATTACTATTTTGCGAAATAGATTTTAATACGGTTTAAGAAATGAGAGGAGGCCAAAATGTTCGTTGATATACTAATTTGTAATGTTTAGATGTATTCTCGTGACATGAAAGAGGTCACGTTGTCACCGCAGGGGTGAAAATGGTCCATTTCGCAAAATAGTAACTCTCCTAAAATTACTATTTTGCGAAATGAATAAAAATCCTTCTTGTTAATGAACGATTACTCCAAAATCCTTGTGAAAGTTATCTTTACCTTATTAGAAAATATATCTGCATTATTTCTTTTGTTTTATTTCATCTGACCCGATTTCGTTTTGTTTCGTTTCGTTTCGTTTCGCAAAATAGTATAAGCCGAACTTTTGATAGCTAGACTTCAGAATGTTGGTAAACTGCAGTGGGTAAGACGCTTAACAGGTGAGAAGCAGAATGAGTGAGAGTTCTGGTTGACATTGCACCATTGGCAACATTATATACCAACCTGTTGGAAGGGTTGGTTGCAGTGCTGGTGGCAATGTCATTGGAACTATTTTTGTAACATCACTTCTGTTAGAACATACTGGTGAAAGTATAAAATGTTCTCCTGACTGCATCAAGTCTGTGGAGAGCTGGCCAAAGTCTTGTATTTGCTCTTTCTACAAAAAAAAAATTAAAATTAATCCAATAGATACTTAAGAGTACATCTTCTTCTATCCTTATCTTCTTCAATGAATCCCTCTGTCCACCATATAGTTCAGCTCAGGAAACTTGTTACTATGATGTGTATTTTTTGTTGTAACAATTTATTAACTACGGTTATCAAAGATAGGTGTCCTCCCACAGTCTTATCTGATTCTTATTTAATTTGCAAGGAAATAAAACTTATCTTAAAACCATGTTAGGTTCGTAATCTGTTAATGGAAGACAATTCAAAATTAATGATTAATTGTTGCAGAAAAAGAAGGGAATTTTTTTTATGACCCATTTTTTTAAATGAAAGTTAACATATCATGATCAACTCAAAACAAGAACACTTTTTTTAATGAAAAAAAATTATGAAAACACCTTCCACTCTTGCTCCAAGCAGCAGTAGCTAGTAGAGTTTTTTCTCATATTTCACGATGGAATAACCCCAATTCCTGGGTAAAGTTGAGACTTGGCAAAATCCAGGTAAAAGTTGCTCTAGATTTTTTTGCCACTCCAGGCAGTCTCCACATTAATTTACTATCTATCTTAACAAATACCTCAGCCTCTGGAGCTATCAACACTGAACACTGGTGCTGTTCCCTTTCCACAGTCACAGCACAAACACTGGCCTCATTTTCAGTGACTTGTGTTGTTGAGCAGGTTTTTACATCCTGAGGCTGTATTGCTAGGGGAGCTGAACCAATTTTGACATCTTCCAGCTGACTACAAAATGTATAATTTCTATCACTTTCTATAACTGTTCCACACTTCTGACTTTCTACTGCTCTCAATGTCTCTTTGTCAGTCACATGAAGACCTTCAGCAGCAGAACAAGGTTCACTTTGGAACCTTTTACAGCCCTGGGATGCTGCAGTAACAAGGCAATTTCCATACACAGGAGCAACTGACAGGTCAGAGTCTGAAGAGTAATGGCCAGAATCTCCCTCTTTCTCTTCCTAATCCAAAAAGGATTCAAACTGTCATACATGTTACAAATTACAGTGCAATGGTTCTATTTGTGAGTGACCTAAGGGGACTTTTTATTTCAATTGAGCAGTTTTGTCTTTGTGAAACAAATAAAAATAAATTCAGACTCCTAACAAATATTTTTTGAAGGTCATCATAGAACAACATAGAATCATGAAATACTCACCAGAAGCAAAATTTTGGTCCTTAGAGGAAAACAAAAAAAATATGGCACACCATACTACACTGGAGATAATTAAACAACCTGTCTTCTATGGCATTCTGTTTTGCAGATTTAAGGCAACCTCTTTGGGCTTAATACTCAGACAACCATGCAGAAATTAAAGAGGCAAATCTTAGGAGAAGAAAACAATGTAACAAATTTAGAGTAAGTTTTTAACCTCTTACACCCTAACATCAGCATGCATATTTTCCATGCTGTTCTCTATACATTTCCTAAGGTGCTGACAAGGAGAATTTGTTTAACAATCAAGAACTTCTTTAGTAGGTAATCATTTCCTCTGTTCTTGTGACTTTTAAGATTGATTCAGGTGATTTTGAAAGGGGAAATTAAATGCTTTCACTTTTAGGAGTTAAAGGGTTAAAATAAATCACTGTGACTTCAGACCAAATACTAAAATATACCTTGCAGATTTAGTTGCCAGAATTTTTTTCTGGTCGCAAGATGATCCAAACAATAGAAGCTTGGAGCAATGCAATTATTACTTCATAATAATAAATAATCATAGGAAACATGTACTTTGATGATACAAAAGTTTACCACATATTTGAGAGGCAAAAATGAAATTGCACCCCCTTTGACAAGCACATGTTAAAAGGGATTAATTGCACAACACACACCTTCTAGTACCAGGCACGAGGAGTTTCGTGTTTCATTTCCCATCAGTCTTCACTTTGAGCATTCACCAGAGATTGTGTACTGTTTGGTTTTTCTTTCCACCCACCCTCCCACCCTGGGTGATTTTGTGTGATTTCATAGGGTGGCAGAAAGGTTTATTAGGCATATCATTGGCTTTTGTTTACTGTTGGTTTGTATTCTTAATAAACTTCTCTCTGTGCCAAAAAGTAAATTGTGTTTTATTTGTGTTATAGAGGGCATAGTTGGGGAATTGAACTAAAAGAAAAAACAATTCTCATAGTCCCCACTCTCCTACAACTGATCAAAAAACTAATTCTTTACAAAAGATTTAAAATGTTATTTCATATATATATATATATATATATATATATATACAATGTTAAATAAATGCAAGCTTTCAAATGAATTCAAATAGCAAGTCTGAATTCAGCAGTCCCCTAGTTCACATGCCTCACTGAAAACAATAGAGTCAATTGACTTTATACTTATAGGGGTGGCAAGATTTTAGTAAGTACATGCCCTTGCGAACTGAATTCCCAGTTTTCTGGGAATTCCTAGGAATTCCTAGGAATTCCTTGGAATTCCTAGGAATTCTCAAAAATTCCCAACTATGCAAATTAACTCTGATTTAAAAAGCTTGGAATTATTGGGAATTTCTGGGAAAAGAAGACTCCAGTTTCGTGAGGACTTGGAATCCCTAGGAATTCCTAGGAATTCTCAGCTTTACAAACAACCTATAATTTAAGAAATGTGGAACTCTTGGGAATTTCTGGGAATTGAATTTGTGGCAATTTTAATACCCTGAGGTCCACATAAATTCTAAGAAATTCTCAATACCTTGAATGTGAAGGTTTTAAGAAAAAGAGTAATTTCAGAGGCTTAAAACTTTGGCTCAATAAAAGGTATGCTATACAAAACTTACCAAGAGATATACATACATGTACATGTTTATAACTTAAAGATCATGAAATTTATTATTCAAACTAAGTTTTAGTAAATCTTTACATTAATATGGATTTTCTCATGAACCAGCTGTCAGTTATGTTAAATGGAAATTGCCAACTTCCACAATAATTAACAATAATTACATTGTTATCTTACTTCCCTAACCTACATTACTGGTTGTTTTTGTTAGAAAACCTTGGAACAGTCAAGCTCAGTTGCCCCAAACGCTGTCAGAGACTTTTTGTTGACAATACTTTTAGTAGAAATTTCATGCCTTAGACAAACAAATTCAACACCTAATTAATCTTTCTTTTTTCATGATTGTTGTTGCTGCTTTTTTTCAGTTTTTTGCTCTATTTTCATGACTAATTGCTGTAATTTGTTTTGCTGTTTTTATTCTTACAAAACATTTTTGTAAGAGTTCCAATACTTGTGGATCATCCACACACTTTGCAAACATTTGGCATGCAGACAAGACAGAGGTAGTCAATGCTCCCTTTGAGAAAAAACACCTTTTAAATGACGTCTTAAATTTATTTTATTTGAAACTCTGATCTGAAAATATTTGTCAACAAGACTTGTTAGTAGTGAGAAGTACCAACCAAGTTTCCTTTCATAACTTAATTTCTTAAATGTCCCAATCACTGGATCTCCCAAAAAATATTACATCTTTTTATTTTTGGTGCATATTACAAGTCCTTCTTTATATAAAAATGAAAAGTGCTAGTCACACTTCAATAATAACAGCTCTTAAGTTTACTTGTTGTTCTTCTCTGTCTGTCAGCTATCAACAAAATTGTTTTATACTTCGGGCAGTGCATAACTATGTGTGGACCAGAGTTCCAACGCACCTCTGTAATCGCATATAGCTACTTCTGTCTCTTGTACAAATGTTTCTCCTTTGTAAGACGCACTCTACTCTGTTGTCACTACTGCTTTAAGTTCAGTGGAAACGACTGACTGAGGAATCGAGATGGCGGTGTTGGAACGTGTTGCTGAACGCTTGCTACGGTCAAGCTTTGTAGATTTAGGTACTGGTACACTGGGATCATCTATGTATCTCTTATACTTCCGAATGTGGTATCCTTCTTTTATAAATATAAGGGTAAAAGACGATTTGGAGTCGCATTCAAAACTGTGATTAGCTTGTGTTATTTCTGACCTTTGCCATTGACACAACTCAAGTGAGTTTCGAGTCTTTGTTTCTTCGACAACTTTCGGCCACAAATCGTGCATTTGTGATACGATCGATTCTTGTCGATTATTTCTACATAGAGTGCGCTCACATCTTTATTTATATCAGAATAAAGTTGGGAGCTTCTCTTAACACTGCAATCGGCAAGCCAGCGGATTCACTTTGCTAGCCAATGACAAGTCCTAAAAGATCCACGTGATCATGCCCGTGATCGGAAACAAAGAAGACTCCATTTGGCGCTCATCTTTGAATGTACTTTTCATCGGTTGATCGCTTTTCTCAACTGTTTTGCTTAATATAACATTTCTAAAGATAGCTTTTATTGTGGTTCAATGGGAAAACGAGAATAGTGTGAGTTTTGTAAAAGAAAAGAAAGTCGTTGGCGCCGTGGAGTTAAAAGAAGGGACAACAGTTGACATATTGACTGGTACAAACAAGGATCGAGTGGCCATCTGTAAAGCTACGATTTTGAAAGTTTGTGGTGAGTAAAAATTGCGATGTTCGTTACGTGATCAAAATCTTATAAAAGAATAGATGTAGCGGGTTGAATTAAGCTTACATAACGCTCGGCGCAACTGAAACTAGAATAATTCTGAGAATCGAATCGGTCACTTGCATGCCGCAGTTTCTTAAGCTTATTATGCTTTACAATGAAATAAACCTATCAGTAAGGTTTCAAGATTCCTCTAGTCACGTTTGGGAACATTCAAGATTCATAATAGGAACTGTTATTAAACAAACCTTAGTACATAAAGAAGCCCTCCTTGGTAAAAACAAAATAATGTATTCAGCCCTTTTTTAGTAAAATCCATGAGAGTGATGTACTAACTCCAATGTAAAAGTCACTCAATATAACAGAGATTTCTCAATTTGAGAATCCAATGAATGCCCTTTTCCTCATAGCCATCTTATAAGCCTGGTCTGAGCTTAAAATATACATATTTTAATATATTATTTTTTTTCAAATTCAGATGTTAAGGAATCCAGATACAAAATGGTCAAGGTTCTTGTAGACAACCTCATTCAAGGCCAACTCATTGTGAGCCCAGGAAAAAAAATACAAACAGTACAAACAGCAGATAAGTTTGCAGTTTAGGATAACTTCATTCTAATTTATTGTTACAGTTACAACAAGATTTTAATCAAAAAATTAATTTTATTTGTCTGTAATTAGCCCCTTCACTCCCAAGAGTGCTTGGTTTTCAAATATAACTTAAGATATTGTATTTTATGGAAAAGAATCAACAGATTTTATTCACAATTTGTGTCAAACCAAATTTAATGATTGATTAGAACTATTTTATATGAATAGCTGTAATTGAGGATTAATCCGTATGAAGTTTTCAAGAAAAGAAAAATAAATCAAATTCCATCCTAATATTACCACACATTGATGGTAATAAAAACAAAAATATTTTACATGTAAGCCTTAATTAAGCTTCTAAATAAATTTAATTGAATACTTGAATTTTAGTTGGGTTTTTTTAATTTAAAGTATTTATTTTATATCATTAGCCTCAAATTTTTGCTTAAAATTCCCAGTAATTCTTAAACATTCCTAAAAATTCCCAGAAATTCCTAGGAATTTTTTAGATTTAAAGCTTTTCAGGGAAAGTCATTGGTTGTCTGAGTTGGAATTCCTAAGAATTCCTAGGAATTCCAAGTCCTGTTGGCCATAAACTTGGAATTTCTGGGAATTTCTAGGAATTTCTAGGAATTTCTAGGTTTTTAGAACCAGAGGTGTTATGGTTGGGAATTCCTAGGAATTCCCAGTCCGAATTTACCGTGAAAATTCACACCTTTATTCCTAGGAATTCCTAGCAATTCCTAGGAATTCCAAAAGCCATTTCGCAAGGGTGTGCTTGTATACAAGACTATAAGTATACTACAGAGGTAAAATATATTGCCTCTCCTAAACCAGTATACTGAGAGGGCATATCTTGACTCTTTCAACTTTTAAAAGTGATTAACCTTCTCCCTTAAATATCCCTTCATTATCTTGCAAACAGGTAATGAGAATACTCAAACTTATCATGTACAAGTTGTTATGTTGATCTAACACCATATTCCTGTCACTAATTTACAAGGAAATGAGTAGCTGCTTGAGGGAAGAATTAACTATTGGAACTGACTTGGGAGTTAGGGGTTAATGTAAATCTCTCTATATCAAATATGATAAACAGTTGACAAGAATTACACTGAAATTACTAAGAACTAAGAATTTGTTTTATTCTTTGTAGGGAATTATAACTTTTCACCTTCTAATATCCCATTTCATGATTACCCAAATGCTTAAATTTTAAGGAAGTAATCTTTAAAGAGAATATCTATTCCAAAGATTTCTCAGGGAAACTACTGTTAAATGCAGATACAGTATAAAATACACCAGCATATTGATCACAATTAAGGAAAACTTCATCATTACAAACCTCACAATAGATGTAAAGTGCTGAGTTCCCTGTAATGTTTTTATTGATGAATGCCCCACTCCATACACAACGATCACCACAAAAATCCAATTTTGATCTATTTTCCACTGCTTTTGCACAGTAAAATCTGTATTTCAAAGTTTGCAAAACAATTAGTAAAAAGATACTGCCACTGTTTTCTCAAGTAATGTTGCTACTCTTCAAAATCTTTTGTTCAACTTTTTAAAATCTGGTGTTCAAATTGATATCTCACTGGTGGGATATTGAGTAATTAACGCTCAAAGAGAAATTCCAAAACCTATGCGTCTGTGTATTATTCTCTACACAGTTTGTTAATAATTTTTCCAATATGTTTATTGAAAGACCTTGTCAAAAGTATTTAAGGGTTACTGTTGCTAAAATAGTGACAGAGGTCAGGGTAGCAATCTCCACAGATGAGAGAAGATCACCATGCATATGACAACCCATACATGGCCCTCCTCCAGGTACCTGTCAAATGAAATGCAGTGTGTGCAATGAATTCCTACCCAAAATGCAAGCTGGATCAGGGAATAGTGGGAGGGAGACAAAGCTAGTAAGGTAACAAAACAAATTGAGCAAAAGCACATGGCAATGCCTCCCCGGAACCCCTTACATCACATTGGTGAAACCCCTGCATTGTTCTACCTTGTTCACTATTAAATTTAACATCTCAAAAAATACCGTGATTTTCAACTCCCCGCAATGAAATCCAAAACACCGATGCCCGTGACGTTGTAAATGTTTCATTAAGTTTCAAAGTACACATGTATTTCAATCGAACTAAAAATACCTTTCATTGGCTTCCTCGAGGAAAGGAAACTTCTCCTCCAGTTTTCTTTGCATATCTCTTGATGAAGTGCTTTTTGTAAACGTTACTTTCTTTGACTGTCCTGATTTCTTTATGCTGGACATGTCGAGAGTAGTTTTGGGCATCAACACAACACCATCCATTTCGCAAACTTGATTACTTCTCAAAACAACAACATTTTTTGTGATCTCTTCATCAGGACCTTTCCTTCTCTTCTTTTTGGGGAGAGGCTCAACAAAGGGAGACGTCATGTCCTAGGGGTACACAAAATTTACAACGAAATAGTTAAGTATAAAATATACATTTACCACAAGTAGAATCAAAAGTTGTGAAGAAAATGAAAAAAATTGTTATAAGAATAAGAAAACAAGCAGAGTGAACACATCCCAGAAATACCCCAGTACAAAAACTACAAGAAAATCCTTCTACAAAATTAAAAAAACCTACTTACATATCGCCTACTGTGATTTTAAGCTTACAAAGTCCAAAACACAACATCACGTGTTGCGCGTGTTTTTGACCATCGACCGCCCCCTTGGTACAAATTTCTTCCTCTCCCCAGCCTTTCGCTGCCATAAATTTAAAGATGGTGGGCAAAATTTTTGTAAAGAAAATACAGAGCACTCGATTGCCAAAATTACGCCTGCTCTACAAGCTAGGTATTAGCAGACATGTCTCTCTGATCCTCTTAACCTGCTGCTAGAACTTCTAACTAGCGCTGTGGCTGACTAAGAGAGTCTTTTAGAGCAATATGATCACTGTCTCCATGATTTGGGTGCGATCGCCCTTGCGAGTTGCGAGAGCAAGTGAGCAAGATTGGCTGAGCTGCATCTTCCTATACAGTGATGGACTGTACAGTAACTGTTCTATACAGTAATGGACTGTACAGAAGCTGTCCTATATAGTAATGGACACAATAATTTGTAAAGAGAAAACTGAGTTTGAACTGTCTCAAACAGTGTACTGTCCTGCGGCCATGACACATCCACTCACCGCTGGTGCCGCTTCCCCTGGATCGAGCATGACCGCGTTCGTCTTTGGTAAGTTTCCCGCAAGTTATTGAGTAGAGCTCCAACAAGTAAAATTTTCGGCAGACACAAAAACTCGGCAGCACCTTATAATTCGTTATCTACAAAAAAATAAGGGAGTCATGATATATCAGTCAAATCAAAAGAAGACCTTGTGATGGTTTTTGCACTTTTGGGGTAGTTGGTGATCATGTCACTCCTGACATCCTGGGGTGTTTTTTTTTTTTTGCTTTGTTGTTTGTTAGTCACATGACCGTTGAAAAAAAATCCGGAGGGTTTGTCAAGAATTTGTGGTATTTTTTGAGCTGTCAAGTCTTTGACTCGAAGGCAGACAGGTCGAAACCTCACACTCACAAAGATGGAGCGACAAATTATAATATTTGTTTGTCGATTCAATTCAAGCCTTTCGACTGTGAGTTTTTGGAAGTTTGCCTCGTGAAGAATAAAGCCATTACCGTACTGACAGATCGGTCATTAAGATAAACAACACACGGAATTTCAAACATCTCTAAAAACAGTTGTAGACGTCCCGGCAGATTTTACGTAAACTGGACAAAATAATCAGTCCTATTTGATTGTCGAGCTAAGCTAACAGATACAGGATTCGAGCCAACATCTGTACATCATACTTGATTGAAGACATTCCTAGACATAGGCTCGGAAAATCGCCTGTGACTTTGAAAAGAGTGCCCAGAACGCTTTGTCTTATCTAACAGTCTACACGAGTATATCCATCAGTGCATCAGTCACACTTATTTCAGATAATTACAACAAACATCTCCAATTTGCCTTTTGTAGCTCACCTTCAGTTGTAAACCATCTGGTCGCCTTCAGCGCTGAAATGTTAAAAAACAATGTCAACCTCATGGAAATCCTCTTAAGTTGATCAACTCTTTCGCACGCCCATGTGATAAGGCTTTTTATCCAATCAAAAGGCATTACGTCCCCGCGTGACTTTGGAAGTTGACGTGACAAGACTCTAAGAAGTTGGTCGAATCACTAGATGTTGTTTTAGTACATAATCAACCGTATAGCTTTAGAAATAATTCAGTACAGCCTAATATTTACTTCCAGGGCTTAATCATACCGTTTTAACAGCTGTAGGTTTACTTACCAGGGGAAAAACGTTTGCATAACTACGCATCTCAGTTCTGACGACAACTAATTCTCCTACCAATTCTCAGCCAAGTTATTTCCTTGTTATACATACAGGTCACTTCTTATTTTTCTTTCTACATAACCGGGTTAAAACAAATTCAGCCGCTCAAATCTTTAATTGATTGAGTAAAGGATCCTCTGATGAAAGCTCACCATAAAGGTATAAATTAATTCTTTGATAAGAAGCAGGGAGAAGTTTCGCGGTCACATTTTGATCGTCAGCTGGAAAGCAGTCTGGATGTAGTAACATTGATGCAGCCAAAGATGTAATGAACGTCATCTTGACATTTCAATCGGTAAAGATTTAGGGATTACTGAAATATATTGGAATTCACTTCCCTTACCAAATTTTCATTGAGCTCCACCGCCAGTTATTTACGAGCTATAGAGAACTAAAATAGCACTCTAAATTTAGCCATTTTAACGACGCACATGTGATCTGTGATGTCAAACTTCCACGAGCATGCTACGCGTTACATGTCTTGTCATCAAGCATGAGGATGTCACTGAATGCAAATAAAGCAACCCGCTCCCTCCTCGCATTTCTCGCTGTTATCAAGCGATAACAGCAAGAACATCTTACTAAATAGTCGTAGTGGTATTTTTTGCGCCGTTAAGTCTTTGACTCGAAGGCAGACAGGTCGAAACCTCACACACACAAAGATGGAACGACAAATTATAGCATTTGTTTGTCGATTCAGTCAAAGCCTTTCGACTGTGAGTTTCAGGAAGTTTGCCTCGTGAAGAATAAAGCCATTACCCTACTAACAGATTGATCATGAAGATAAACGACACATGAAATTTCAAACATCTCTCAAAAAAACAGTTGTGAAACGTCGCCGATTTTACGTAAACTGGACAGAATAATCTGATTTGATTGTCGAGCTGAGCCAACAGATTCAAGACTCGAGCTAACGTGTGTACATCATACATGATTAAAACATTCCTTGACATGAGCTTGGAAAATCGATGAGCACTACCGCCTGTAACTTTGAGGAGTGCCCAGAACACTTTGTCTTATCTAACAGTCTACACGACTATACCCATCAGTGCATCAGTCGCAGTTATTTCAGATAACTACAACAAACCTTCCCAATTCGCCTTTGGTAGCTCACCTTTCGCTGTAAACCATCTGATCGCCTTCAGCGCTGAAATGCGAAAACAATATCAACCTCACGGAAATCCTCTGAAGTTGTTTAACTCTTTCGAACGCCCATGTGATAAGGTTTTTTATCCAATCAGAAGGCATTACGTCTTCGCGTGACTTAAGGAGATTCTAAGAAATTGGTCGAATCACGAGATGTTGTTTTAATACAAAAACAACCGTTAAACGTGATAAATAATTAATTACAACCTAACGTTTACTTCCAGGACTTAATCATACCGTTTTAACCACTGTAGGTTTACTTACCAGGCGATAAACGTTTGCATAACTACGCATCTCAGTTCTGACGACAATTAATTCTCCTAGCAGTTCTCAGCCAAGTTATTTTTTTGTTGCATACAATCCACTTTTTATTTTTCTTTCTACATAAGTAGGTTAAAACAAATTCAGCCGCTCAAATCTGTAATTGAGTAAAGGATCCACTGATGAAAGCTCACCATAAAAGTATAAATTGATTCTTTGATGAAAAACAGGGAGAAGTTTCTGCCAAATCAGGCGTGTTCAGTTCTACGAAAGTAACAAGCAGAATATAGCTTCACACAATCTTCAAACAATAACCTTGCTAACAACGCCGAGAGTACAGTTTTGGGGATCAGAGAATGGATTTGTAATGTCACTCTTTTCTTGTCTTCGAGACTTCGCTGAAACACACAAGGAACGCTTGCCTTGTGGTCAGTAGGTGGAAATCAGTCTGGATGTAGTGACATTGAACGCAGCCAAAGATGTAATTAACGTCATCTTGACATTTCAACCTGTAAATATTTAGGGATTATTGAATAATTTGGAATTCACTTCCTGCGCCAAATTTTCCTTGACTTCCACCGCTGGTTATTTACGCTATAGAGATCAAATAGCACTCCTAATCTAGCCATTTTAGCAACGTACATGTGATCTGTGACGTCAAACTTCCACGAGCATGCTACGCTTTACAAGTCTTGTCTTCAGGCAACAGGATGTCATTGAATGCAGATAAAGCTACCCCCCTCGCTCCTTTGTTCAATGAGCAATCGAAACAATAAAGAATTTTCGAGAACAGGGGGGTCTGAACGTCATCCCGATGACCAAGTCCAACAAATCTACTAAGACATGATTTTCTTACTATTCAGTGCATGGGCACGTAAATTCGCAAAGACATCGGAACCAAAGAACTTTATAATCAATATACCAGTCAGTTAAGAATAAGCCTTAAATAAATGAAATTCCGGCTATCAAATAATACTGGGTCAAATAACTGAATTGCGCTTGGCGTGCTCCCGATAGCTGGTCAAACTACCGCACTAAGTATTTGTCACTGATGCTGCTGCAAAGAGTAATGCTTCTTAATCTAACTAACCTACGAATACAAGTCGAAAAGTGTGAACCAATCGTTATGGCAGCAACAAGAGGTTAACATAGGAATTCCAAAAAGTAATCCAGAAAATAATTGTAGTGTGGGGAATTAGTAAGGATAGCCCACACTGTCTCGTCTTCACTAGATTTTTTATTCTTCTCCTCTTCTATTCTCGCTAGGTTTCACAACTGTCACAACTCCTCGACTCGACTTATTTTAAAAGATTACTTCGACTGAAAGCTAAATAAATCACAGACAATTGTTCCTTATCTTTGCGGGACACCTTAGTTAAAAAGAACGCTGATTGGCTAGATACGAATCTTCCAGACATAAGAATAACAAATTTTCCAGACAAACATTTCACAATCGCTATTTGATATCTATGCTATTATTCTGTTTCCGACAGTAGCATATTTTAGACATTTCGTTACACGGTGCTTTTCTCAATACGTACAGATACGCGAAAAAGAATCTTGTTCGATTGGAGTGCTCAGTTCATAAGGAGGAGTCCAGTCTGACGCGAAATATACTTTATCTGTTGCATAACATTTCTACAAATGTTTCCCAGGAAATTCAAAACATACTTCCGCATTTATAGGGTATGTAAGAAAGTTTTAATCGAACCTTCGTTGAAGGTGAACAAATGACAATTTGTATTACTAAGTCATTCCAAAATGTTTCAAATTAACAACGAACCGTTTCTTTCTCACCTTTTTTCTTGCTCAGCTACAATTCTGATCGGCTACGGTCATGCCGTCGAATAAACTCAAAATGTTAAGAAAGTTATTGAGATCGATTACTTCGTCTAAACGTGCACGTGGTGAGGAATTCATCCAATTAGATTTGGTTATCACCTTCATCAATCGCGTGACTAATGATTTTCACATAGCGTGACATAACACCATGCCGCTGTTGAGTATGGCGATTCATGGAAGGTTTTTTCCCTTCCTTTCTTCTTCACATTTTCCAACTGATACAAAAGACTATACCCTAAATATAAAATCGACTAGTAAGACGTTGTTGCTGTTATCGCTTGAAAGGAAAAAAAGAGGAAAGGAAAAATCGTTCACATACCTTTAAGAAGCTTAAGTGCGACTTTTTTACTCAGAATTAATTCGACAAGTTGACCACCCAGAAAATTAACGTTTGCACGGCATACACACCGCAACGGAGGCTATACATCCCACATACATCAGTCAGTCACTAAGTGTGAGATACCTTCCTTTATTTATATTCGGGAGTCGGCGTCATATCGAGTATTGGTGATTGTCTCGTTTTCAAAGTACATGCTTCTCTGTTCGAGAAGATAGAAGTATATGGGATGTAAATTTCACAATTTTCTGTACGAACAGCAAAGCATTAACAGGGAGCAATACATAATTTTTTCAAAGTTTATTACTTGTTCAGTTATATCACAGCACTAAATAGAGACACCCGGCAGATTCACTTTACAACGAAAATGAGAAAAAATATACAGAGGCAAACCACTGGAAAGTTCTAAGGAAATGCTCAATCAACGAATTCATTAGCAACTCAAACAAATTGTGTTAACCAAAACCAACATAATACTATATTTAAATCATGGTGTGTCCATTATGGGATCATAACCTTAATGAAAGATAACAAAATGTTGAAACAATTACTGTATTTTATCTAATTTCATATCATGTTATGGCCAAAAGTGTTACAAATAACTAAATTATGCACATTCCATTACTCAGACTACAGTTGACTATACCACTAAAAAATTTTTCTCTTTTAATAAGGAACTATGAGTACACTGCTTGTTCTATCCCATGCACTTCAAACGTAAGCATTTTTTATTGCCTGACCGGTAAAGACAATACTAACCTAAAGTCTTACAAAGTAGTTTTTTGTGTGTGCATTAGAGGTAATAAATTTCCTAAAACTATGTGACTAAAATATAAAGTTTACATGTAAGACTTTTGTTCTTAAAAAAATACTAATAACTGCTAATTTCTGGCTTGAAAGAAATGAAAATCTTCACTCTAATATCTGATAGTTAAAAGTTGAAGAACTCTAAGTTCATACAACGATACCTCATAAACACATTATACCTTTGCAAAAATGATCAATCTTTGCCCAACAAAGAAGAATTTACTGAGTGGTATGCTGATGAGTAGAGCAATTAGCTCTCTGCTTTGCAATTTGTGTAATTATCCTGTCAGAGATAAAGCTTGGCCCTCAGTGAGTTGCTGTATGATGGAACTTGAATGTAACTCTGCAAACCATCTCTTTCGGCTTTTTCAACCACACATCTGGTTACCTCTAGCAACATCTCTGTCAGATGGCTCTCCTGGTGATGTTTTCTAATAACTTCCACATGAGTCTGATCAGGACCAAAGTAAAAGATTAGTTGTTGCCCCTATTAACATTTGGGGGCCCTCCCAGTTCTAAAAAGCTTCGGCCCATAACTAATGGACTTAGAAAGGGTTGATGAGTGTACAATATCAACACATTGGCACCTAAGTAGCAGTGAGAATTAGAAATTATCAACTGGGAGGGTACTTTCTTGATACAAAGGCAAATTATCATGTCAGTGATATGTAGCAGTCAGGAAAGAACTGGCAAATATGCAGCTTAAGAATGACAGCGTTGAGTGATTTATGTAGGATTACCTCTCCAATAATGACACCAAAATCTTTACCAAAAAAAAATATCCTCTTAGCTGATCATAACAGTAAAATACCCAGTATGCAGGAGGACCAGGCCTTGGAAATTACAGAAACAAAAAGCTGCTAATAATAATAATGATGATGATGATAACAACAACAACAACAATAAAAAACATATATAAACATTTTCATACTCACCTGAATGAATGGTGTACCGTGATCTTCATCTCGGTAGGAATAATACCCAGGGGTAGTTGCAAAGGCCAATAAAAAATCAGCTTCTTGTGGGCTTGTCCCTCTTGAGAGGGTGGAGTCACCACAAAGCCTACTCACAGTGTTGTCAATATGACGTCTCTCATGCTCCAGAAATTCTGAGGAAGAACCCCTACAGACTTGAAAAATAAACACCTTGGGTTTTCCTTCAAGTGTTTTGCACCTTGCAGCTTTAAATTCGGACATCATTTCTTCAACAGTTATATTTCTTTGATCCACACCTAAGATAGTATCATGGTCTCCTCCGTGGGACATTACAATGACAAAGAGAGCATCAGATTCACTGTGATTCTCACTTGCTATGGTCCTTACAAGATCTCTCATATCACGTGATTCAAGATTTTGGTAGATTTCCACATCAAATGAGAGGTACTCAAAGAGGGCTTCCAGGGCTTGTTCATCAAACTCAGCACCAAGGCGATTGTAGGCTTTATCCTGGAATTCTGAGTTATTTATGATAATACACTTCCCTCTAGGGTTTCTGTTCATTCCATAACTTTTAAGAGAGGACCCTAGCAAAAACATTCAAAGAAATAAAAATATAAATCATGTGCCTTTCACTTAATACATTGTAGATCTCTTGGAATTCTCAAGGGCAATAGCACCACAAATTTTTGAGGTGAAACAAAGGGTTAATCATTTATAATCGCAATTAGCTCTGATATTCAGAGATACACCAAGTACATCAAGCCATATGCCAAATTGTTTCAAAGGAAATAAAACCTGATGTTCATAAAAGCATCATTGTTTTCTTTTGCTCAATGCCCTCTTGGATTGATTGGGTAGTAATACTTTCCAACCACCCATAGATAGTTGTTGTATTTAGTATAGGCAGTTTTTTCCTGGGGAACCAATTTCACATTAAAGCTTTGTTGGGGATTGACCCCTTCTCTGAGCTTGTTTCTTAGTTTCAACCAATATTGCAACAAAATTAGGTTATTTATTGTATGATCCACACAGCCTTGAGCAGGCATTAACCTTTTAAATGAATGTATCTTGGTTTGAACTGTTTGTTTTACAGTCTTCCTTCTATTACAATTTTTACTCCTTATCCTCTTCATATACTTGCCTTAAGGCTGCAGAGTGAACTGAGAAAATTAAAATGAGTCATAAGATTTTCCATGATAAACCACTCTAAAACATTTCATATCAACTTGTACATATGAAAGAAAAATTACTTATATACCAGCCAAAATTCCATCAGAACTGTCTTGTCTTCTTCCAAGGGCAAATGGGCCTGGTTGGCTAATCAAGACTGCTTCACACACAGCATAGTGTCGGTCAGAATCCCAGGATTCTGATTCAAGTCTACTTCCAAATTCGACCAGCAGTACACAATTACTAACACCCTGATTGGACAAAGAAACCTGGACAGGTAATGGAAGCTCCTCAACACCACCTCCCCCATTGTTTCGGCAGTTGTTCTTCAAAAAACATTCCTCATCTAATAGGGTTTTAAATTTGATTTTTCTGTCCTCAAGTGTTGCCTCTTTCACACTGATGAGGGCACAAGCAGGACTGGGTCCATCTTCAACATCTTGATAGATCTTCAAATTTTCAATTTTACCAGTAGGAAAGCCCTCTGCAATCCCTTGATAGACAACTGCTTTATAACCTGAACTACCAAATTGTAGTTGAGAAAGAATTGTATTGATACCCTGTAAACAGAAAATAAAGTAAAACTGGTATAAGATGGATTTATTCATGATAACTTGAGTCAGTTCAAAACTTCATCACACAACACAGTACTAAAAAAATTCTCTTAAACAGATGGGACCCACAAAGTCATAGTGAATGCTTGACTTTACAACACTTTTGCTGTAGAGTTAAATCCACTTTATGAGCACATATTAAGCCCCTGTTGTGTTAACATTGAAGATGAATGCCTGCTACCCTCAGTCAATTAGTGAAATTCATCCAAGAAACAAAGCATGGGGCAAACCAGTCATAATGGTGACACAATGGAAGGTAACAAACTTACAAGGGGGCAAAAGTTTCAGCAAAACAGTATAATGGAAAGATTTCCATACAGCCCCATACTTCAACTACTGTAGTTGCAAAGGGACAAAAAATCCATTGTTTCGCCCCTGTTTTCGTTTATCCAAGTACTGCATACATAAGAAACTATGGGGTTTTACAGAAATCTTTGCCAAAAGCCATTCAGAAAACAAAACACTGTCGTTTATGCTTCGTACAGATTTGTTTCGTTTCGCGCAGGTTAAAATTGTTTACCTTAGTTTCACGAGCACCTCCCCAGCAGACGGAATACTAATTCAAGGATTGTACTGTGGCGAAATGATGACATCTTGCGTTCAATGAAAGAGAACTATGGCCTAAATACCGATGCTTTTACACTCAAACGTTGGCCAAACGTGAAGGTAATATCTACTTACGGAAGCGTCACACATCACAGGCAGTTCATTTACAAAATATTACTCACCAAGCTCTTTCCGGTATTCTCAGTGTAGCAAGGGTTGATAAAACCCCAACTTGGTCTTCTCTTGAAGGTGATGAGGGATCCCTGGGTAATACTTCTGTGTCGAAGCTGTTCGTTTTCCCAAATATAACGTCCATCCTCGTTGTGCAATCGAAATGGAAATCCAGTGACTTCCCCATTTTCAAGCACTTCTAAACAATATGCAAGCGATGTATCCCTCCTATAATGTGCTTTTGAGAGGCCGATTACTACAGCTCGACCTTCATCAGGTGAAAACGTTTGGTAGCCTTGACCGTCAGTAGCCATTTTCGAAGAGCAAAGCGACACGAAGAGAAGACGCGATCAGAAACTATGGCGGATTCCAAATTGAGCGACGAGGTTCGATTAGTTATTAACGTCATCAAATTTCGCGCTTTCTCACTGTAGCCAATCAAAATCAAGCGAATCCTCGTTTTTAAAACGAGACAAAACTGGCGCGGACTAGCTAGAAAGACCGCGGATTGCTTTCTATTTTTATAGTCCTGTATATCTTATTTCCAAGGGCCTTTCTTGAAGATACGAATAAGCTTAGTATAAATCACCATTAAAATACTTGTACATGACGAAGCTGGCACCGGACCTGACGCAAGGAGAACTTCATCCTCATTTTCAATCCCATTCGTCCTGGAGAGAACAGCTTGCTGAGTCAACCAGTCCCGTCTCCTAGGCGCATCCAGAGAAGACTAGTCCACAAGGCACGAGGCAATTAAAAATCGCTTTCGCCAGAGAACATTGACCTTTAGCGCTGGCCAAAAGAATCGCTGCTCGGAGCCGAGATCTCGGCTGTCCTGGCAGCTGGGTTTTTAAGCAATGCTTTTTTTTTTTTTTTTTTTTTTTTTTTTTTTTTTTTTTCAACTTATTTCATGTCAATAGGTCGCCTTTACGCGCAGATGTATCAAGGTCTGAACTTTTCCTCATCAAAAGAAGTTAATTCAAATACCGGTAGTTTTTGATTAAGGAACGGATTGGGACGATAAGAGGGCGCGTGCGTGGATAAAATTTGGGTTCGGAAAGTCTCGAGTTTTATATATTTTTTCCTTCTTTTATCAGGCCTTCCACAGATTTCCATTAGCATGTCGATTTTCTTTCACTTATGTAGCGAGGCAGCAGTTTTTTCTTACGTTTTGTTTTGAAATTTTGCGCGGTAAATTGGCGCACGGCCGGCCAGAATTGATCCCCTCGCACATGCCCTGCTGTGTGTCGGTGTAAACTCGATTAATAGTCATAAACTGGCCACAAGAGAATAATTCACGCTCTTGGTATCTTGTTGGTAAAAGAGTATAAATAATTATCATAATTAGAGTGATGATGACAATGACAGCTTCCAAATAATAATAAAAAAAGTCCAGGCACTTGATCGATAACTGTTGTTTATTTGTTCATTCATGTGTTTGTTTATCCACTTAGTGCTGGTTATATTTACAATTTGACCTAGCATTACTTTGCATGTCTGTATTAATATTGTAGCTTTAATCATAACCATTGCAGTTTCCTCAAATGTGATTGATGCATTAGCTGCTTTATTTTTCACTTATCATTCTGTAGAGCTGTAATCGGACAGTTGGCTGTAATAGGACAGTTGAAGTAGCCAATCATACTACCAAGTCCACCCAGCCAAAATTTACCAATCGCAGAAATTATAACAATAACCATAGCAACAACTACTCATCCTAAAAAAAGAAAACAGAGGAATTTCCAAAATGGAGAAACTTTTTTTATTTTAGACATCGTCTCTACCCGAGATATTTGACCTAAATGTATGTGTTGTTTTCGGAAATTGTAACGGTTATGATTACTTGGTAACAGGACTTTTTGTCTTCCAATTCTGTTTGTAATCATACTCGTCTGACAAATTGGACTCCCGCTGCGCTGTTGTCCAAGTTACTAATTAATCGTATGATCGTATGATTACAGATCGAACTGGACTCCACTCGGTCCTATTACCATTATAAATTAGTGGTTTATATAGAATTGTTCATCCACGACCATTGATATTGCTTAAATTAATGGTAAAATAGGTTCTGGTGATCGGTCTTATCCTGTCTAATCTCCCAATTTTCGCCTCCCCACCCCTCTCCCCATCCCCGTCAAAAAAAACCTTTCATAAAATCACACTCACTCTCTCCTTTTCCGCGATTTCCTGTCTTTGAAAATTTCTAGAAAGCGACCTGTCACCGAAACTTTAAACTATCAAATTTCTCACTCATACTTATCAGATTAATCAAAATCTTGCTAAATCTCATCTTGATGAGTTTTCTGAACTTTTTGGGCCTTTCGAGCATTTCCTGCACGAGCACGCGTATATCACTTCCACCAGCTTGTCCACTTGATTGTGTTCCTTTCCAGGACATTCCAGACTCACTTTGGTCCAGCTTTTTAAAGAAGGTTTGCAGAAATAGCAGTACTTTGTCCTTCTTCTTGCAGACCTCATAGGGAAAGTTCCAGGTGAGTAGTATGAAAAACACTGGCCGACACATGCTTTGTTCTGAATGACTTTAGTTTCGCAGCCCTCCTCTTGAATAGATTGTTCGATATCTGTAGCCATGCACCAGCTTGTCTTTAGATTGGAGGCATGTTGGAGAGTTTCAAGAGATTTTTTTCGAGCAACTTTCATCAGCTTTCGATCGCTCTTTGCTCCGGCGTGATTGGTTTTCGAGCAAAAGAGCACTAGCATGAAAGTGAGAACAAACCACTTTACAGACATCGCTGATTAAATCTGGAAGTAAGAGAGAAATTATTAATGCTTTCACTCCAGTGAAGACTAGCGTAACTTCTTCCTACAGAACCAATACAGTGTCCAGCAGAAGGTTAAAGAGAATTGATAAAGCCATAAGCCTGAGGGCGTTCACTTGACAACACTGACCCCATTAAAAAAGATAATCCCAAGTGTCATAAGTTCATCTTGTTCCCACATCTCAATAGGCCTTCTGCATGTTTACGTCAGAATACACAGTTTCACCCCCAAGGTGCAGACGGATGAACTTTTATTAGGGAGTAATCCCAAGACACCAAAAATTAAAAAAGTCGTCACACGTTTACAACAAGAAAGCGGCCAAGATTCATTAAGATTGAAATGGGAACGAAGCTGGGGGAGAGAGGGGGGTGAGTTTTCAGTATATGACGCCATCGTGCAGAAGATCTAATATATGACGCCACTTTGACGTGGAAGGTCTGGTTCGAGTCTAAACTTAAATTTTGTAAACGCTGACGTCACTATTATTCTTTCTATGCTAAACAGAATAGTTTTACAGGCATTAACAAATATAAGGAGAAACCAGTGTGAAGTAATTAGCCACGGTAACTATAGAGCTCGTCCCCAGACTCTCTGCATTCTCGGCGACCAAAAAGACCGCCACATTGTCGGTTCACTTTGACTTTTGCCTTCTTGACACCGCTAAAGGGCTACATAAGCGAATATCCCGTGATGTTAATTTTTGTTTGATAATAAGCTTAATGATCCAGTAAACAAACAAATACAGCTTAGCGCCATACGAAATTTAGTTAGATGTGACAATTTTGATAGGGCAGAATATTGACTTCCTGAAAACTGTTGAAACTGATAAAACTGATAGGCTCCGGGAGAAACTAGTCATGTGACGCTTTCAAAAGATATATTTGTGTATATACGTACCCTAGATAAATTTTGCCCCGACTTGCGTGCGTATTGAAATATTGGATGAACTTGGTGTCTCAATATTGCTCAACAGCAATTGTGAAGTGGTTTACAACAATTGTAGAGGTAAATAGGAAGGGTTAAGGAGTGAGTTGGCACTTCGCCAGAACTCTAATAAATTACTGGATAGTTTTGTCTTATCTTACATTTATTTCTTTGCACCTCAATTCGTTCAATGCGCACTGTAACTTTACGGCGAGGCAAACTTTCCAAATGTTTCAGAATAAGCCTTTTCGACTGAAAACTTTGTCGACCAATATCGATAGAATCACTTTCTTTATATTTGAAGTGGAATGACCGCTTACAGGAATTTTATTGAGGATTCCATATTTCTACACGATTGGAATTCTTTGGAGTATTCCAAAGGGAAAGCTTCAAAGCTATAGGAACAGTCCGCATTAGATTTATGCTCTTTGAAACATCAGTCATCCGGTTTCATTCGCTTCTGTGTGGTCATTTGAACATAGAGCTATGTAGTCAGAAGTAAAATAAGCCTACTACTGATTTATTTCGTTAACTCGTGCAGTTTACATCATTAGCGAAGCCCGATAAATTCCGAAGAGGTTTTACCTACTTTCCATTTTCTGATATTGTTCCAGCCGAAATGATCTTTCCAATTTTAAACCAATCCATTGAAAGTAAAATCCTTCTACAATAACTTCTGAAAAGTTTAAATCCCAGAAGAGTAACGTACTCAAAATTATACAGCTGTTTACAAACTTCTTAAAAGGACTTTAAGAGCCAGGAAAGAACCCCTTGAAGCGCGGTTAACTTCTTGAGGCGAACCATTCAAACGTTGACACAAAAGCTTTGATAAATATTTTTTTGTTAAACTTATTTCTTTTTTCAAGAAAATAACCTTGAAAAGTTTGCTTTACTTTGAGTAAAGTGCGCCGATTTGAGATTCGCACCGCTCTTGCCATGGGTGAATCTGCGCTGATACAAACAATACTTCTGCAGAAACGATTTTTCAATTCATTTGTCAAAGTTTAACAAACAACTGCGCCCACACGATTCATATCAACTATAAATGATTTGATTTCAACGGAATTGTCACCGGCAAATGCTTACCTGTGTATCTTCTGAGGCGTAAATGGCAGTTTAGATGGGCGGCGTTTTTTACGTTTTCACCAACTAATTCTGACGGCAGCAGTTCTCCGCCTTCAATGAAAAATTTGATCAAGCGAGTTGCTTTTATGATGTGTCGCCGTCCTCTGAGTTCTTATAAATATATTGGCTTGTAACATCTTCCGATACAGCTTACTTGATTAATGAGTCTTAAAAGTGATTATGAAACAGCAGATATAAGTGCTTTCCACTCAGTCGTCGGCGTAAATTTGTAACTTTTATTGATCAGCCGGCCTTGTTTACTACAAGCTGATACAAAGGTTAAGGAATGAGCAAAACAAACTCGTAAGGTTCACTTACAGCCGCTCAACCACGTGTTGTTGCTGGCCTTGACCGGCGCTGTGGGGGACGTCAGATTCTCCTGTGATGACGTAAATCCCTCTCACTCCTCTGAATTGGTAGATAATGGAACCAACTATCAGAAACTGTCATCATCACACGTGAGTAAGCTTATAGAAAAGCTACAAAACAAACGAAATGCTTGTTTATCCCCTGAAGTCTCAATTTTTCCAACATTTAAATCAGTGAAAAGG